GCTGAAGTGCTATTTTCCATAATTAAACAAGAAACTCAGCAGATATGATCAAAGGACACTCTGAAATATTTCTGTATGGAATCACAGTATGTTGTGATTGTGGTGATACCAGGTGATACCATGGGACACCTGTGCCTTCCTCAAAGTTCAGTTTCAGAAAGGCAGGAAAAAGAAAACTCAGGGCATGCAGGAAGAATTAACCACAGAATACTTTCTTTATACACTTAGGCAAAGCAAAAGGGTTTTCAAAATTAAAAAAAAAACAAAAAAAAACCCACATTTATATTTCATAATATTTAGATACTCTCCTGCAAGGAGAAATGCAGCCAGCAAAACAGTTCTGTCAGTTAAAAAGCACAGAAGCAGCACAAGGTGGGTTTGGTTTCTTTTCTTCTCCTATTATTCACATTCAGGTGTATCAAAAAACCTAATTAATATAATTTTTCTCTAGGACAAAAACTACACAGATGTGACTCCTTACTCTGCAAAGCAATAAAAAAGAACACTTCCAGCTAGTGACCAAGCATGGTGCCTCTAAAGGAGAGAATTTCCACCCTCAGCCTCTCCAGGAAACAAACAACCTCCTCAGCATTTTCAGCAGGTTTCAACAAATCCTGATTTCCAGGAGTGCTCCACATGTTCACATCCCATCCCGTGGCTAACCCTGTCCTCTGTGTGTGAGGAGCACTGCCAGGGGCAGTTCTTGGTTTACCTGCGAGGTACTCTATGACAGCTGCCATGTACACGGGCGCCCCGACCCCGATGCGGTACTTGTAGGTGCCTTTCTTCAGGTAGCGCATCATCCTCCCCACGGGGAAAATCACCCCGGCCCTGCTCGAGCGCGACAATTTGGACATTTTCTTCTTCCCGCTCCGCCCCGACATCTTGCAGCCTCGTGCTTCTCAATTTGCCTTGCTCCAAATCTGAGGGCTGCAAGAGAAAACCAGCAGGATTGGTGAGAAACAGCTTCACGTGTTTCTGCTGCTCCAGAAGAAAAAATTCAAACCCGCCCTCAACGCCTGTTGAAGTGCAGGCATTGTTCATTAAAAGCTGGATAATTGGAATATTTGCTATAACTTTGCTTTCAAACTGCACCGTCAGTGTAGCAATAGCAGGAGCAAAGAAAACAAACCTTGTTTTCTCCTTATTTTTCCGGCAACCACAAGATTAGGGATAAACGCACAACAAACCCTGGAATCTGACACTCCACTCCAAAGCTTGCATGTGGTCACAATTACACCTCCAGCTCTCACTCTCAGTCAAATAATGTTTGGGAAAGTTTTAACTCTATTTACAAAAACTGGTTTTATCTCCATTTTGATAGCTGCCCTGAGGGCCTAATTATGAGCCTGGTTACTCTTTGGAAGCAAACAAAGAGCAGGTCTGCCACAGATGGTATTTCTGCCAAGGAAGGCACAGTTCCCTCACTCCCAACACTCATTCACCTCAGCGAAACAAGGAAACACAATGAGGGAGACACTTGGAAAAGCATTAAAATGAATCTAGGTGATACTGCCAGATTTTATCATAATCTTTTCATTTATGATATCAAAAGTATAAAATCAGCAAGGAGCTGTAAAAACTTGGCCTGCCCTTGTGTATCAGCCAGACAATTTTTTCTTTCTGCGTGCAATGTATTACGTGGGCATGATAAGGAAAGTTGGGAAAGATTAAACCAGTAAACCTATCAGACAGGGACACATCAAAATTGGCATTACTCATCATCCCACTCTGAATTCCCTGCCAGCTGCCAGCCTGGAACCATGAGTGGTGGTAACAGAGCTCAAAGGGAAGGAGAAAAGAAGTGGGGAGGTATGATATTGGTCTTCAGAGATGCAAGAGCATGCTGTGAAAGTGGAGAAAGCAAGTGTTCCCTACAGCAGTGACTCTTACAGAACATGTATGGCAGAGGGGAGAGAGCAGCACTGGACTTGGTCAGACAGGGAGGCAGCAGAATCTTCCCATCAGGACAACTTCAGAACAATTTGAGGATGTATGTCAGAAATCACTCAAGCAGCACTGGATCTGCCTTGGGACTGGAGGCCGGACAAGCTTCCTTCCTTAATGAAATTTGCAATTTGTGAGAAACCCTATATAAACTTTCAATTTCGTAATAATTATAACCCTTAAAACGTGTTCTTTTCAGTTTGTGACAACTGACATCCAAATAATAATCCTAAACTGGGAATTAGGCTTCTAGCCATCAGAGGAGCCAGCTTCTGGAACAGCTTTCTCTTTAGAGCAACAATAACTCTTTTTGAAGTGGAACTTAACAAACGTATGCAGTAGGGTACAAACAGGTTCCTGCAATGCTGGCAGGACAGTTGCATCACCCAAGAGTTCAGTCCAGCACTGAAACCCCTATAGAGAGCCATACTGAAAGAGTACACTACCTGTATCAAAACTGTATTAAGCTAACCTCTCATATATTTGTTCCTATAGCATCAAATCCCTGTTGAGTGAAAATCAATAGAAAAAGGCAGACGTCAAGGGATTAGATCCACAGAAAATAACATTGTTACACTTGATCTCCATGACAGAAAATCAAAATATAGTTGTATACAATTAACCACACTGCTCTGGGCCATGCAGTTGCATTATATAAATTTATGTTTAATTACTCACTTTTCACTCGTCCTTCTGTTACCATCACTGAACTTTCCACCCCTGCCTACTCCTTTACTTCCCCCTTCTCTCTCACAGGAAGCCCTCTGCCATTATTTACTCCCCTGCTGCCAAGCCAACTTTTGGAATCCCAAAATATTCTCCAAATGCACTGCAGGTTATGTTTGCATAATTCTGTGAGAGCTTAAATACAAGAAGTTTCAAAACTCTGCCAACACTGTCTCTGCTTTGCAACTTACATGGACCAGGGTGCACTGAGGAGCAACAAACACAGCAGTGTGAGCAGTGTGCTCTTGTTTTGACTCCTACAGGAGATAATTTTTGGTAGAAAGCCAAGCTCTGGCACAGTCACAGCAGGATCTGGACAAAAAAACATGCGGAGAAAACTCCTGTGAACCCGGACAAAGAAATCCCACAGACAGGGATCTGGTTTCCTTGCAGGAAGAGGCACACGAGCTCAGCCCTGCCACACTCACCTGAACTGCAACCAGCAGGTAAAGAGCTACAAGTTGAGCACTGCTGTCTTAATTCCTCACTTCTGAGGACACAGCCAAGCCTCAAGAGCTTATCAGCTGAAAAGTCTACCCACACTCGCTCCCTCTCTGCTAGCTGATTCACCATCTCTACCTTTCTCCTCACGAAGTGCAGCCTCCATTTAAAAATAAACTTGTGCCACTCGTGCCTGAGCTACAAGGGCTGTATCTGTATCTGGCTGCCATGACTTCGGGCTTGGGCAATTTAAAGCAATTATTTTCCCTATTCCTTAATTGGTCACAGCACACTCCCACTCTGCCATGACTCCAACATCCCTGTGTTGCCATGGGGGATTGAGTAGCTACAACATCTCATGGAGCTCCCCACAATATGATTACAAGTAGGGCTTTCCTCTGTTGACTTTTGCCTTCTTCAGAGCCCAAGGCAACCAGTGACATTTTCCTTCTGCCTCCTGGAAGAATACCTAAGAGTCCACTTTCCACTGGACCAGGTTGCTCCAAGCCCCATCCAGCCTGGACTTGGACACTTCCAGGGATGGGGTAGCTGCAGTTTCTCTGGGCACCCTGTGCCAGGACCTCATCACCTTCACAGGGAAGAATTAAGGGAAGAGCTCCTTCATAACATCTGATACAAATCTCTCCTTTTTTAGATTTAAACCATTCCCCCCTGCCCTGTCACAGTCTGCCCATGTAAAAAGTCCCTCTCCCTCTCTCACGTGCCCCATTCAAGTACTGAAGGGCAGCAGTAAGGTCTCCCCAGAGCCTTGTCACGGCCAGGTTGAACATGCCCAGCTCTCCCAGCCTGTCTCCTGAGCAGAGAGGCCCCAGCCCCCGGAGCACCTTGACTTCCAAACACTGAGAGAACTCCAGCTCAGTAGTCAAAGACTAAAATAAAGGAAGTGCAGGACTACCCACACAGCTGCACTTCCCTCATCGCCAGCAGAAGATCTACTACAACATTAGGAGTTGACAAGGAACCCACAGACGTACCTTGGATCCAGCTAGGGCTGCACATTCATTTACAAACGAAATATTTGTGAAAAATAACGCAGAAAACCTGAAGCAGGGGCTCGCTGTCTTTGCTAAGGCACCAAAGCACAAACATAGTGCCGTTCAGGGGGCAGGTGTGGCGTCTCTCGGACTCCAGAACCACCCACACAGAGCGCGTTCCCAGGGAAAGAAGCTTCCAGGGCTCCCCAAACCCGGGGGTCCCTCCAGAGGCAGCTCACATTCACAAACAACATCGGGCGACCCCTGCGGCTGAGAGGCCGGGCCTCGGGACGGACCCACAGGGAGCGCTCGGACTCTGCCGAGCGCGGGGAACAGCGCGGGGAACAGCGGAGCCGCCCCGAACCCCCTCAGGGCCGCCCCGCCCCGCGCGCGCCCCGCCGCTGCCCGGACACCGCCGCCCCGCCCACCGCCCCGCTGATTGGTCGCTGCCGCGGCCCGGGCCGGGCGCATAGCACGTTGATTGGCTGCGAGCCGCCTGATGGACGGGAGAGGGGCGGGGTCAGCAGCCGGGCCGCGCAGGCGCCCCGAGGCGCAGCGGCGTGTGTGCGCGTGGGGGTGTGGCCGCCGGCTTTCCCGCGCAAACGCTCCCCCCTCACGGCCCCCTCACGCCGCCCTCGGCGAGCGCCGCCGCCGCGGAGGCTTCGCCCGCTACCCGCCGAGGGGCGGCTGCGGCGGCGGCCGTGCGGCCCCGGAACGGGAAGCGCTGCGGGGGCCGAGCTGGCGCAGCGAGCGAGGAAGAACCGCCCCCTCCCCCCACACACAGCTTACCCGGGGCCAGCCCCGCGCGCGCCGTCGCCGCCTCGCGGCCCCCCTTCCTTTATGGCCGCCCCTCACCCGCCCCCCTCACGCCCTTTCCCCTCACGGCCTCGGCCATGGTCGGGCCCTCCCGGAGAACGGCAGCGGCGCCGGGAAGAGGTAGAGGAGGAGGAGGTGGGTGGTGCGGCCGAGGAGAGAGGGAAGGAGAGGAGCAGGGCCTCGCCGCGGCCCCCGGAACCCCCGCGCCGCCGCTCCCCTCACCTGCCGGCGCCCGCCGCCGCCGCCTCCTCCTTCTTGTCTTGCCTTCCTCTTTTTCCTCCCCCTCTTTTCCTCCTCTCCTTGCCCCCCCTCCCCTTTCCTCCCCCTTTGCCTGTTCGGCTCCGCCTCAGCCGCTCTCCCGTATTGTATGTTTCAATGGCGATGGCGGCTGCTGGCGAGGGGGGCGGCAGGGGTTCCCTCCCGCTCCGCACATACCGCCTCTAGGAGGAGTCACTGCAGCCCGGGCCCGCTGCAGCCCCCCTCTCTCGGCTGCCGCCCTCCTCGCCCGGGCCCCCTCCCCGCCAGCAGAGGAACGCCCCCCGACCCTAGTCCCAGTAGGCTTGCGGTAGCCGGGAGCGTAAAGGCGGAAAGCCTTCCCATCCTTTCCCAGGGTGGAGGAGTTCGGAGATGGAGAGGTTTCAAGGCGATCCAAGATTGATGTAAAGCTCAAGGAGTGCCTGGTTTTTGTTAGAGAGAGCCACCCATCCCTCTATCCCTTTGGCAGGGTGGCCTGCGTGCCTCGCCATGGTGCCTCTAACCCAAATATTCCAGCATCCCCAAGTCGGCTTGGAACGGCCATAACAAAGAGTGCCGGCAGCTCTTTGTGTTCTCTTGCATTGGAGCGTTCTGGGCGCTCACAAGCTCTCCAACTCGTCCATGAGGGCTGCAAACTTCCCTTCCAAATGGAAGCTGAGGGGTTTTCTTTTCTTCCCTGCAGTTGCACGGATTCAAGAGCTCGAGCTCCAAGAGATGCAATAAGCGATTGTGTTTTGAGTCTTGGCAGCGCCAAATCCATGAGCAGAGGCTGGTGCAAACAGGAGAGTACAGGGCTGCACCTCTTTAACTTAGGTATATTTTCACATCAGACTGGGTTTATAGCTTCATTCCTATACAAATACATTGTTGCACCGATTTTGCTATAAGACATTAGGGTGCTACTGTAGTGCACTAGGAGATACATTATTAACACAGACCACTCCTTGCTTGCAGTGTTGCTTTAGGAGGGTGTCTGGGAACAACGGAAAGAAAGAACCATTCATGCATTCAGCATTCTCTTTGCCACTGTAAAAAATTATAAAATATTCACTTGAGTTTGGTTTTTGGCTTCGTCAAAGTAAGCAATTTTATGTCTGTGTAGAATTGGATGTGGTGGGTAGAAAAGCAATGAAATATTTCCCCTGGTTATGTTAATTGTGGATCGCGCCATCTCATGAAGAATGAGTTCAGGACCTGCATTTTCCTGTGACCTTGGCTAAAGCAGTTCCCTTTACACAGCTGTATTTTGACTGTCGTTAAAATGAAACTAAAGATACCTTTTCTCATTTCAACCATTGAGTAAGCACCTCAATACATTGGTGTGGATTAATTCATTCAAGTCTGTTCTCTTCGTCATTTCTTTTTGAAAACATGGTCAAGATACCTTGAGACCATAGGACAAAAATCTCATGTATGACTTATTTTACATGTAAAAGGAAGCCTTACCTTTATCTTGCCCACTGAGAGTTGGAATTTATCAAAGGAAGAAGATATCTGTAGGCTTGCCAGTGTATTGAGCCATATTGGGAGGGTAGGAGGAAGCTCAGGAAGATTTTCAAGCACTAAGCATAAAAATTAATGACGATGTAAAACCCATGTGAAAAGGGAGAAAAGCATTTACATGTCTCTATTTCTAGATACAAATAACTGCATCCAAAAATCCTTACAATCATGCATGCGGTATGTGGCCTTGTAATATAAAATAATTTGAGATGAGGCAAAATAAGCATCCCAGGTTTTTGAAAACATTCCCAGTTTGTTAGAGTTTAACATCAAATAGTTGCTGTGTGATAAGAACACGAGCATGTGGGAGGTCTTTCAAGGGGAAAAAAAAGTCTTTGTGTGAGGCAAACTTTCAACATTAGAACTCCCTCTGTTTCTAACAACATTTTTTCTGTTTATAAACAGCATTCTCCTGAAGAAGACAGGAGTGCTGGAGAAGTGTAAGAGAGGACATTGAAAATTTTCACAGTGTAACACTTTCTAAGTCTGTCATAGATGTCTGAATTTTAATACCAATTTTTGTGCTGTTGTGATTTTAATAGTTTCATCGTAAACTCATATTCCACTCTTTATTTCTCCAGTGGATATAGCCCATCCTTAATCTAAAAATTAAAAGCATTGTGTGGGTATTTTATGTTACTTCAAATGTTTCTGGAAAATTCAGAGTCACTTGGTGACACAATAAAGAATTTTGGAGTAGAGCAGATCAGAGCAAGGCAACACTGAACAGTTACCGGGTGTGAATTGTTCTGCAGGAACAGCAGAACCCTTGGAACCAGCTGCTTTTTAGAGCAGGTAAGAGACTCCTGGTCACAGTCCCTGCGTGTTGCAGTCATTTAGATGGAGCTGCTCAAGGAAGAGCTGTTATTAACCCTCATTTGTGCCATGCTGGAGTCAAGCAGAGCTTTCCCCACTCAGCAGGAGCAGGGCCTGCCCTCTCTAGGTTGTGCAAAGACCATCTGCCTGTTGCCTTCTGAGCGCAAATACAATCTGTTACTTTGTCAAAATAAACAACACATCTATCTGATCATTTCTAGCCTGCTGCCTGCCTGACTCCCCAGCTAGGAGGGAAACAGCCTGTTTATGGCTCTCTCATTTTGGGGCAGAAACTGTTAAATCTCAAACATTGCAGTGAATATTTCATAGCTCCAGAACCCAGAGACAGGGCTTCACTCTCAATCAGGCTGGCAGGCGTTCAGGGTCATCCTGGCAGGACAGGAATACCAAGTGCTCCAAAAGCTCCATTTTATGTGTGTATATAATCTAGGGAATTTGATCAAATCAGTGTAAGCATTGCCTTAACATCAGGATAACCAAATGCAATTGAAGTTGATTTGTTTCTATACAATGGTCATAGAGAACAGCTGTAACAACCGAGTTCTGCAACTAATCTGTATTTCTGTAATTAATTATTTTTCCCATTTTTAGCCATTTTTAAACCCTTCCTCACCTTTCATATTGCTTACATGTTTGTTATGCCAGCAGATTTGGTACCATGGGCTAAAGAAGCCAGAAAACCTACAACCTAACTTTCTGGAGAACTCTTTTTTAATAATACTTTCTTAAATTAGACCATCCCACGTAGTTCAGAATTTAAAGTCTTTGCATGTGTCAGATTCTGACACGTTGTTTAACATGGGCTGATTATCTGCAGTCACAGGTTAGCTATAGTGTGTAAGCAAGGGGAAAGATCTTTCCTCTCCAAATAGCAACTGATTCTCAAAGATAAATGTGGCTTATTAACTGAACAAAATAGCAAAGATGCCTTTTCATCCTTTAAAAGGAGGTTTTAATCCTTGTTATTTATCCTTAAATGCAGCTATGCTGACTGCAGAGATCAGTCTTAATTATTCCTTGTCATATAAGTAAAAATACCAATGGAATGTTTAATTACAATGAACGTGACTTTTTGTTGTTGTTTTGTGGGGTTTGTTTTGGGGTTTTTTTTTTGGGTTTTGGGGTTTTTTTGTGGGTTTTTGTTTTGTTTTGTTATTTTGGTTTTTTTTATTGTCTAATGGAGATTTACAAATATATCTTTCAGAATGAAGAAAAAAAGAATAAGGTAACAAACCCCAGGAAATAACATTGTTTTCACCTGAGGAATACATTGTAGGATCCTTCTCCACAACTCAGAAATCATAGCCAGAAGGGGATAGGGAAAACTCTGGGAATCACAAGTATAGAATGGCCTCTTCAAAGAATTAGAATAGGTAAACACTTGTAGCTAAGGAAACTGAGTGGTGACTTGAGAAAGGACTGATGCTCTTGGCTTGGTGTTCCGTGCCTCCCCAAGGATTGCAGTTTTTTACATTAACTACTAAAATACCTATTTCAGTTTCTGAGTTTGAGGAAACCTGTATGGATAAAACCATACTTTTGTGAGTGATGCTTTTGGCAAAAGATCAATGTGATAACCAGGCACTGCCAAGCTAAAAGGCAGAAATGCCTCTATCCCAGTCAATTTCTTTAAGAAAACTACTTGCAACAATGTGCATTTACTATAGCACAGCTTTTTGGTGCAGAAAGTGACACATTCTTTTTCTGGGGACTCCTGATGCCATGATTTGGGTTTGGCATTTGCAGAACTGTATTTGTTTGTCAGAGCAGCAAAGATGCAGCAATGTGTCATTGTACTTGTTTGAGCACCGAGTCACTCAGCTCCCTATCTGCATTGAATAGATCACACTTCCCACTTCTCACTGTGTTGCAAAGGGATCTCAGATCTGATTATTCTTGTGCTAATAAGGATTTCTGTCCCTTTGCTGTTACACACTCTGGTGTAGTATGGAGCAGTGACACATTTCCTTTCTCCTCTGGGGACACAGACAAGCACACTGTTTCCTTGGCTCAGCTCCAGGTTCTTTTCAGAGCAGCTTCACAGGTAAGGGCAGCACAGCACTGCCTGCTTATCTGCTTTCATAATTGTTCCCGAGTTTGATTTAAAACAAAACAATTTACCTCATTACCTCATTTTTTCTGCTAACTGCATAGCCCTAAAAGAAAAAAAATCTCAGCTGTGTCCTGTAAATAAATGAAAATGTTTTGAAACAAGCCAACCTTTGGGTCTCAGCCTTTGGTTTGTCTGAGGCAGGACAGAGCAAGCCTCCAGAACATTTACTTATTGAGCAAGTGCAAGATTTCACTGCTCTACCAGGGTAGAACAATACAGGAGCCATCACTTCATTAACAAGAGTGACCCTGAAGTCTTAAGGAATGATAAAAGCCAAAGTTTCAAACACATACTCCATTCCCAGTTGGATCATCACAGCATGTTTGTTTTCCTGTATAACTCTATGCATCAGTCACTGTTAAACATCCAGATCCTTGAGGGTTTGGCTTCACTCCAAGTTCACTGTCTGTACCCAGAGGAGGGCAGGAGTGAAGCACACTTTTGCTGTCTGGCCACTCAGAGCTAATGGATTTTCATCACAACATTGATTGCAAGGAACCTGCACTGCATTGGTGTTTGGGTTCACTCAGAAATGCACCCAGGCATACAGGAGAGGAGGGAAAGGGCTGTACCCCCAAGCTCAAGGAAGGGAGAAATGGATGGACACCTTCCAGTTGTTTTCAGATTCAGGCAAAGACAACACACAAAGCTGATAATTATTTTAGCATGGGCATAACTAGAGTCCATCTCTCCCCTCTTTGCCCTTGCTCTCTCAGTTCACAGTTAGTGTGGGTTTGTGACTTATGGTTGATTAATTCCTGCGGTAAGAGCAAGCTGCTGTTTGTACCGTAGGAGGTTTCAGGCTTTCTCCCACTGTAGATTCTGCAGTGTCCAGTGCTAGGGCACAGTAGACAGGCACTAGGCAGGACTCTGTCCTCTCTCCAGCCATCTAATTTTATAGTGGTAAGAGTCTTTTTGAGGTTTCTATCCTCCTAGATCTGTTGAGGTTTCTCTCCTAAATCCATTGACATTTCCCACCAGTTCCGCAGTTCCCGGGCCTGACTGGCAAACAGCAGATGGCGTGGTTGCCTCAGCACAGGAACCTAAAACCCACCCCCAAAGGGGACGTGAATTCACCTGTAAGTGAATTTATGGGCTAGGATTTGCATGTGGTGTCATTTACAAAAGACACAAACTATGTGCAGGTAAACAGGCATTTTTATAAAAGGAGAAGAAAGTATGTACATCGTAGGGAACAAATGCAGACTGTAATGGAATAGCTATCTGTGTATGTATTTAATTTATAAATTAAAATAGAAACTTCACTAAAACATTGACACAAAGGAGTAAAGCTTCAACACAAGGCATGGGGAATTAATCAGACTCCTCTTGGAAAACAGTGGGATGACACTTTAAATATGATGTCATGTTTACCATTACAACCACCCCCCAGCCAGAGATATTTTTTGTAACCTCCTGCCTGTTTTTTTAACCCACTTTTAGTTATCCAAAAACCCATTCCCCAAACTTCCTCTTAAAATCTCACATATTTTTTTCTCCTAATGTAGATAATTAATGTAAATACCTTACTAAGGTAAGGTATTAAAACAGTTAAGATACAGTTCTGCATAGCAGTTTTTATCACAATATAAACCAGCACCTCTGATAATATCAGCACTGTCTTCATTATCTGATAAATGAGTACTTGGTGGTTAAACATAAAATTCCCATCTTTTACAAGAAGACAGAAATGCTTTGAAGGTGCTATATTTAAGCAACACTTTTCTTTTACAAAAACTCAACTTTATTTACTACTGAGGAGTGGATTCAGGAGATTCTTTAAGTGTATCTCTGGTTTCCAGGACAGGGATGGTTTAGTTGAAATCACTGGATTTATTAATTAATTAATTAAGGAAATGTGTGACTGAAATGCAGCTTTTGTTCTGACAAAAATTCCTAAGCTATTTTTCACTCATACAGATGGAAATCATTTACCTGAATCCCTTTCCTTGTACATGTTGAATGCTTAGTCCTTTAGTGTCTTTTTTAATCTTATATCACACTGCGAAAAGATTTGCTTAAAAACTTAATAGTGGAAAAATATTTAGGAAGAAACACCAAATAATTACAATATTTCAATTATTTTATGATCAGTATAACTCCTTATGGCACAGTCGTCTCTACTTTTGTAAAATATTGCTAGGAATGGTCAACGTGGAATTCAGAATTCCCTGGATTGAAACCCAAACAAATCAGCATTATTGTAATAACAAGAAAAAAGTGAAAAAGTCAGATGCTCATTTTGGCTGAAGAAGCTCCTACAGAGGTTGAAAAGTTTGTGGGAAAGAACATCCCTTTGTTCTCTTCATTCTAGCAATGATTAAGCGTGGAATTTTGTGGAAGTCCAGAAAATTCCAAGTAGCTAAACTATGTCAAAAGGAGTTGAAATAAAGTCTTAGAAACAACACAATGACAGTAAAAATTACTGGTAGCACAAAAGTATACACAGAACATACATGAATCAATGCCAAATAACATTGGATATTCAATGTACAGGCTGAAAAGCTCAGTGTGAAAAAAAAAAGTGTACAAAACATATTCAGATTTAAACATCTCAATCAGTGTCTCTAGGAGAGACACAGAAACAATGCCCTGTCAAGTCTACTCACAATTCATCACTTTACTACAGCTACAATAAATATTCTACATCCTATGCCATCAGAGGGGAAAAATCTCTCTTGTAAAATACAAGGAAACCAGATATGTAAGGACACAGAGTTGCTTCAGAAATCATTCTCCTGCAGGTCGTTAGTGTTTGTCTGGTGCTGGCTGATGAGCAGATTTTGGACAGAAATTGTCCCAGTACCACAGAGTTTGGCATCCAAGTGACACAGAGATGAGAAACAGGAGCAGTGCCAATGACACAAGCATTGCAGGTGTAGGAAAGGCCATCGGGGCCACATTTCCTGTTGCTCTGAGGACTCTGAATGCCAAGGGGGGATCAATGTGACTTTTTGGAGGAGCTAAATCACCAAGATGGGGGACAGCCCACCCACCTCCAAGGCAGAGCATCGAGAGAAACCCCACAGCCACTCACTGCACCCACTGGTGATGGAAGCGTGGAGACCCATGACATCCACAGGCTGGCCCCAAAAATCAGGAGCTCCCTCCCACTGCTGCCCTGATCAACATCTGGAACTCATTCTGCATCACTAAAGCTGTGAGAATGGGGTGGCGTGAGGCTCCCTGCATCGGGGGGGATCATCTCAGCCCCTTTGGGATGGGGCAGAACACAACAATGAATGCTCTGCCCTAGTTTGGCCATCTATGGATACAATGATGAGTGAGAACAAGGAGTAGCAGAGCAAAGGGAGTGGGAATGGGACAGGTCATGAATGAATGCTGAAGGACCAGGTTTGGAGAAGTCTGCTTGTGGTGGCCTGCACAGTCTTGCTGCCAAGTGTCTCCCCTCTCCTTTTCACTGACATCACCCAGAAAAGGCTGTGGAATTCACAGAGCTAACACTCTTCCTTTGGAAGGTTCAAAAAAAGATGAAACTGCTCAGTCTGTGGCACTGCTGGTGGGGTGCAACATCATGGTAAAAGCAAATCTTTGCAGGAAAGCAAAAGGGACAATTTACTGAAGCAACATTTTGAAACACTACTGTGAAAAAACAATGGAATTATCACAAAATGGAATTTCACACTCCCAGCAAACTCCCACTGGAGACAAGAGACTGACAAACAGCATACCATGGAAAGCAAGTGTAAGTTGCACTCCACAATCAGTCCTCTCGTACCTGCCATTAGTATCTAACTTAGTAAGCTCTGAAACAGCAGTTCAACAAACTCATGTTTTGCAGGAAAAACAAAAGCTAATTAGGCTTTTCTTGAAAAAAAATCTGCAATATTCTAACTCCGTTTAAAAAAGAACAAACAAAATTGTAAGAAAGCTACAAAACTACACCGCCCTTGCTGCCTTTTAAACAGTAAAAGCTTTACGGTCAACTCTAAAATAAATTACAAACATCTACAATCTTAATTCATGTTTTGTCACAATGATCTCATCAGACCAAAATGTTTACCAAAGCAAGCCTACAAGGAGGAAAGGAGGATAGCAAGAAGGGTAGATAACAGTGAGTGAAAAATGATCCAAACGTGACCAACAGATTTTCTGAAAACGCAGAAAAGCAAGCAGTTGTTTTGTCTGGATCAAAGACATCTGGAAGATACAGGGACAAAAAGAGGGGAAGAAAAAACCCAAAGTGTAAAAAAAACAGGATCCCTTCATCCAGCAAAGCATTTGCACATAGGCTCAGGGTGAAGCACAGCCTAAAGCTAAGCTTGAACCCGAGTGTGCTGCTGGATTCAGAGGAGGGAAAACAATAGCAACAGACAATAACACTTGAGCAGGTACCCTCCAAGAACTTGCCATCTTCAAATAAACGTCTTCCTAATTTAATTTTCCAGCTCCTTCTAGCCAAGCCTGCTATTCCAGGCTGTAGAAGGTTGCTGAAGAGGACACAGTGACTCTTGCCAGACTTCACTGCTTTCAGACAGACCATCTAAGGTGAGAAGAGACCACTTCCAATCGGCTGGTCCCTAACATAGCCCTTTCGACCTTTGTAAATGTAAATGAAGGGAGGGAGCGTTTTGTCTGGGAGAGGTCACTGGCACCTGGTCCCTAGGTGTGGCCTTTGGGGATACGTTTATCCCCACTAAAAACGCATTTGCTGATAGAAAGCACCTTTTCACTACTGAACGTGAGGAGAAAAAACACGTCGGGAATGTCCGTAGGACATTTTGGGTCAGGAACTTCTATGCACTTATTCCAAAAGTTCATTAAAAATATACTTAAAAGAAAACAGAATAGAGCAAACAAATTGCCCCCAAAAATCATTAACAAAAAGTGAAAGTAACATTATCAAACTATATATATAATGGTTTTCATTAAAAAGAAGGAAAAATGCACACCTACCGCCTGCAGTTCTGGTCAGGTTCTCCCTCTGCCCACCCCAAAAAAGTAAAAATTTTTAAAAAAAGAACCAAAAAAAACAAATAAAATAAATTAATCTTTCCACCAGTCTGGTTCCCAACTGAAACAATTTCTTCCCCTGCTACTCTATTTCCTGAACACATCTGTTAGAAAACTCAATTTAAAAAATCTGCAATTCTTCAGATGAACATGAAAGTAAGACTTTTCTCCCAATCTTTGCAAACCTGGACTTATTTTAACTTTCTGTGCATTGGAGAGGAGATGGATGTCAGGTACAGGTGTCCTTATCAGAAGATCAGAATGATTCCACTTGAGCTGACAAAGAGTGTTTGAATCTGGGATTGCTCTGGGTTAATGGCATCCCTTTGAGCTTGAAATCAGCACTTTCTCCCCAGCTGTAATGTGAATTGCTTAGCACAGTGATTGAGATAGTATCATTCATTAGCTCTAATAACAATGGCCCTGGCTCACCCAAGTATTTCAATATGCAAATGGCATCATTTAGACCAGCAAGGAATCACTCCCTTAGTTCTTGGGCAAACGGGATTCCCAATGCACTCAGGAAAGTAGAGAGGTTTTGTCATGTTCAAAACATAGGCACTTATTTTAAGTTTAGGGTTTTTTTTAATAAATTGCAAGAGCTGTGGGGGAAAGACACTTGAGCTTACAAGTTAGCCTTCAGCAGTAGGGGCTGAGTAAAGGATGCCAGATTTGCATGGCAGATAGTAGGAAGTATCCAGGATTGCACATTCTGCCCTTCAGGCAGATGGGAAACTTCCTCTGAATCCCTCAGCACTTTGCCAAGTCTTCGTTTCCCTTTAGTGAACATATAAAAACATGTAACTGAACTTTTGTGATCCTTCTTTTCCATCTGGATGTACATCTGCAGAGATGTACTCACAAAAGGGCCAGCAGAAAACATTTCTGGAGGGCTCCAGACAAAGTACATCCAGAGGGTGCAGTGGAGACCAAAGCACAAGTACAGGAAGCTAAGGAAATAGTCAGTGAAACCAGACTTTTTCCACACTCCACATTTTTCTGATAACGTATTTCATGCCATGAGAATCCAGTATGGTTTAAAAAAACCCCAAACAAACCAATGTAATTTCCTTATAATTAAACAGGAGAAGAAAGTTTGTGATGAAAAGGTTAAAGATGGAATCATCAATGATACAGGTGGAAGACTGTCACCTGGTAACCAGAAATGGTAGCAAAAAGTGTTATCCTCTCTGAGCAGCACTCTGAACTGAACACAGTTCTAGGGTTTCTCTGCTTCTCTAAAGAGAAATGTTCAAGAAGGGTTTCTTTCTTGGATCAAAGGATCACCTCCCAGAAATACTGTCTACGTCTTGCACTCATTTATGAGTGCTGCTGGAAAATTAGCCTAATTCTTCATCTGAAGAGTCTGACCACAATAGTAGATTGAAGTGAAAATGACCAAAGAATATTAATTTTGCCATTCTCAACCCGTGCCACTCTGGGACAAAACAGAAAGCAAAGCAGAAAGTGCTGGCACACCGAGCTCCTGCAGCCCCAGCATCTGGGCACACATTCCTAGTGCACTGCTGAGGAACTCCTCCCAAGCTTCAGGGAGGGAACTTGCAAAACATGTCCAGCAAATCTTCAGGAAGGTCCTCCTTCTCTTTCACTGTGCTGCCATTTCCCAAGCTTCTCCAGCCCCAGACTCACTTTCTGGCTATCAGCCAAGGAGTTTGGCCCTTGAAATGGCAGACAAAAGGTTTCATGTGAAAAGAGGCAGAATTGACAGGAATCCACAGCAATGGCAGCCTGGTTACAGGTTTTAGTAGGGACAGAGCTGAAACTAAATTGCCACAGTCAGGGTGGTACAAACTCAGCTGCCCCACTTGGGTTTTTTTGGACGTGTAAGGAGCTTAGGTTTGATAAGAGCAGCAGGTCAGTGTGGTATCACTGATTTGAGCCCTCCAGCAGCTGATGAGACTGTATCAGTATTGGGGCTGTGGAACAGCAATCCAAAATGGGTTATCTGGCACTTCAGTTAACATCCCCGGCTATAATCCGCCACAGGGAACATTTGTCACCATTAATCCAACCTTTAAATGAGTGGGTAGCCCACATTTTCCCCATAGTAGGTAAATCGTTTCTGACCCAAGTCAGAAGGTACTATCAAGTGTTCTGGCAATTTCACTTCAAGGTCCCTTACCCCTCAGGCAAGAGCTTTCTCACAAATAAAGCAATCAAAAGCAGCCCAAGAAATAAAACAGGTACAGCATCACCTTCCAGGAGCTGTGTCAGGACAAGGTGGCAGATGTGTTCTCAGATCAGATATAAACAACCAACAACAATCCCATGCAGTGCAATCACAAAAACTATGCTACACAAAAACCAGCTACACATAAACCATGCTACAAAGACCAAAGGGAACAGAAAGCATTGGCAGCTTCTCCTAGAAATCTCTATATTTTTAAGGATTAAGAATAGCCAGGATTTGTAGAAGGGATTGAAGCATTCAGGCACCCTACCTTGCAGCTGAATGCTTCAAGATCAGAGCAGGAACTCCCTACTACTGCTACAACCTTCCAAACCCAAAGTACAAGGAATACGCTTGGCTGGGACTTTAGTAATTGCTTAACAGGTGTGCAATTAAAACACAATTGGAACATTAGCTGTTCCAATTAGCTCAGCTTCACAGCTGCACGGCCTTTTAACATGGAACTGGGGCTTACACTAACGACATCTATTACTGAGAAATCCAGGGAGAATCCCTCAGTGCTCTGTGGTTCATTTTATTTTTGTGCCGTTTCAGCTCCAGTACACCCAGCATCTCATGAAAACATCATGCGTGGAAACGTTTCATCCCAAGGACAATGTTGGCATGAGAACAAATGGTTGTAAATACCATTAATTAGTTTAGGTTGAAAGTTGCAAGGAGTTTCCTAACTGTGAGGGCACTGGAGTTGGAACAGACTGCAGGGTGGGGAGGATAAGGACACAGGGCAGTGGAAAACTCACTGGTTTTTAGATGTAATTCAGTAAATTTCTGGAAGGGTGAGGTGCCAGATGGATTGCAGCAGTCAGAGGCTGGGATGGGATCCTTGGGCAGTCCCCTGCTGGCCTTTCCCTGTGTACAAGGGAACTACATCCCTTACTCTGTCACTTTATTATGATAGTGCTGAAAGACTGCATGGAATCTTCTGGAAAAATACCTGATTAATAGTTTGTGAACAGATGAACAGTGGAGTATAGGGAGTATCATGGTGGTGACCCCTTCCACTGGCACAGCTGTAGCCATGTTGTAGTGGCAGCATCATGCAAAGAGCAGGACTCAGTGGATCAGTCCCACTAATAAATCACCACTTGTGTTTCTCCTTTGGGATCATTAAATCCTGGTAGCTGAGACTCCTGCGTTGCCTTTGCTCCCTGTGTGAAGGGCTAAGGCAAGTGGACATGTTTTAGGGAATAGATTTAACCTTCTACTTTCCCTCTTATATCCTAAGGAAAGCTGTTATGTTCACTTTAGTCTGGTAGTGTTTTCCTCTTTGGGTAGTTTAGACTTGAGACATCAACAAAGGCAGGTCAGGAAGAATAATTTAGATGTGCATATGCAAATGATAATTACACACTCTGCAAATCTGCATGCAACCTTTGGTTAACATTTTAAAAAGCCACATGGATTGATTTTACAAACATTTGTTAGGATATCAAGGTATGGTGCATTATGCTTAATTTTAAATAAGGCTTTAATTAAGCTGCTTGAAAGCCTACAATTTAGAAAGGGATAAGAATTTCTTGCCAACCATGGCTTCTTGTTATGAGGGTCATTCCAGCTCATGGGGGGATAATTGGTAATCATGATGTCTCTACATTCCCAGTGCACAGGGTTTTTCAGCAACACTTTAATTCATCACAACAGAAGTGTTAATATTTCACTTTAATAAAAAATACATAATATTTCGAAATATTCTTGAATGATCCAGCTTGAAAAATGAAAATTACCTTTAAATCTATACAAGGCAGTTCCTTTGGGCACTTTAAATGCAATAATTTATTAAGTTCCTATACTCGCCATGTGTGCACAAATATCATGTAAATATTACAGCTGTACTCCATGACAAAACAAGCGTAATACAGACATAGAATCATACAGAGAACTGCAAATGGGGGAAAAGGGAGATCTGGTATTTTCTGTACAAAAAAATATGCCACTTTTTGATAATTTGTAAAAATGCGTAACTTTTGGCATTTCAGAGAAGAACACCATATAAAAATAAATATTCTATGTACAGTAACACACACAGGTCAGTCCAGGGTTAGAATCATCACTGCAAAAGAAAACATAAACAAGTGTTAGTGACAGCTCACAGGGGGAGGACAATGTTAGGGAAGCTGGCTCTGGGCTCTCCAGGAGGAAAAGCAGTGGTTGATGGATCTCAGCAGGAACCCTCCCCACCTCTCCAGGTGGCAAAGTGAGGGTGGGAGATCCATCCTGGACTGACTCTGCCTCCACTCTCACCCACTTGGCATTAACACCCACAGCAGGCACAGAAGGGACCAGATCCTGGGGAGTGCAGGAGGGGGCATCTCAGGGAATCCAGGTGGAAATCTCATCTTTGTGCAAGGATGAGAGCACTTTGAGGCCAGGCAGCTCAAAGGCCACAGATACAGTTCTCCCCTTTGTACCCCACAGAATTGAACTGTGATATTTAAATAAGGAGGAGTTTTAGTTGCCACTTTTCTGGGATACAGTCCTGGAAATCCTATCCATGCATCTACACCTCTTCTGCCCTTAGCCAGATTCATGGAGAACATTAGCACTGCCAACTCAGCACAGCAGCATTTCCAAGACTACTTTACCTTATTCCAGCAGCCTTGAACTGGAAGGCCATCTTCTCCCTGTGAAAAAGATGGATGAAATAGCAGTTTAGGACACAGAAAGTAAAACAGAGATGGAGAAAGGAAGGCATGGGTTAACTGTTACTGCAACAAACAGTTTGGACCAGGGCTGGAGGAATAGTCTGAGAGATATTCCTCATCCTTCAGATGACCCAGACTTCCGGCTGGCAGAACCAGTGCAGCCTGAAGCAGGGCCTGGGGTGAAGAGGGGAAATGCCTGCAGGCTGTGATGGGACTTATGGACCCGAGAACCACCCCCCCTAAGAAGAAAGGAATCCATCCAGGCTTCCTTGAAGGGAGAAGGAACACAGGAGGTCCAACTCAGTCAGATAAACTGCCAGGGGCTGGCAGTGGAAAGTGAGAGGTGGCTGCTCTGTGTCCTCAGGCTTGGCTCTGTAACACTGAGCTTAAAAGCCAGTCCTAGAGTCAGCACTAACCTCAGACCCTGAGGAGGGTCTGCAAAAAAATCTCCATTTCCTTTCTGCCCTGTTAAAGGGTCTGCTTTGTCATGTGAGACACTGCCCAGTTATCCCCTCTTGCCTCTGGGGAGATCCCGCTCCAGGAAAATTAGGAAGGCAAGCGGCTGGGCAGCCCCTCTACTGGTTCAGGATGTCTCAGCTGACTCCCTGAGAAGGGACTTTGGCTTCCATAACATCAACGGGATTTCTGTGGAATCCCCTGGCACTTCTGCAACCATGATGTCTTGGGTTCCATGGTTGGGAAATACTTTTGTCAATGACTGCCATTCGTTTCAACCCTGTGCTGCTCTCTGTGATGGGCTAGACATGACACCAGTGCTAAGGTGCTCTGGAGCAGCAGATAAAGTCAGGTGTAAGAAAGTACATGTCTGACACGAGAAGTCAAATTCTTGTGCTGTGTGCGTGTGGCAGATTCATGGTCTATAACTATTCCCCAGGAAACCCCAAAAAAATACAAACAGAAAAGCAAACGCATAGTAATATATTGAAAAAGGAAATAGTTACTGGAGATGCACTTCCAAGGGGCTGATGTACTGAACATTGCCATGATGTTATAAAATATTGCTTTTCAAATGCATTTTTTGGACTTTGGTCTCCTTGTGCTGTTTCCTTCCCTTCCCCCAACTATGTGGAAATATGGAATTACAAGTTATTTACTGGGTAAATTGTGGTGTTCCCATTGGTACACTGGTGGTGCTAGGAATGACATGGCAGGAGGAGATGGGAAGTTAGGTGTATGAAGGAATGGGAGGCCAGGGAGTGACAGCTCAGGGATCAAAGGAAGACCAGGGTCACAAGGAAGTGTTTGTTGCGGGCGAATGTGCCGAGAACGGAAACGTGGCATGCTTGTTAGTACCAAGGATCTCCTTCCACATATCTCAGATGTGTGAAGAGTTAGTTCACAGCCTCCATAAGCTACACACATGGATGTGGCAGCTGGATGCCAAGCTTTTAACCTAGTTGGATCAAAAAACATGCTTATTCACGTTCCCAAGCTAGCTTGCATGCCAGATCACCATATATAAAAAAATAACAGCATCCACACTTCATCCAATTTTCTGACAAGCTTCCCTTAGTGAAAATAGGCATGAAAAAAGTGTAAATTCTAATATGGCCATGTGGGGTGAATCCTCACTGGGAACAGTGACAAAACCACAAAGGTCATCTGCAAGGGCAGGGTCAAATCCTTGCACCTGTGAAATGAGGTGCCTTACTCAGCCAGAAGTTACTCCATGGAAACCTGGCTATGAGTAGTGGGACACATAACACACGGCTCTGTGGTCTTCCTCCTTTGTGCACTGTTCTGGGCAGGTACAGTTTCACCCGTGGGACTGGCACAAGTTTCTACTACCCAGAATTTACAGTGCAGAAACTGACACTTTACAAGTGGTCACTGTCCCAACGAGGCAATGGCAGCAGCCAAAGGAGGGAACACCACAAGGAAAATCATATTAGCTCTTCACAAAGCTCAAATAACAAAGGCTTTTAATGGCAATTTCATGGCTTTTTTTTTTTCCCCTCAAGAAACTAGGAAAACCTTTAAAACCAAATGTGGCTTTTTGCTTTGGGATGCATTTTCCCAGCTAGTTGAACTAACAATATCCATCCCTTTCAGATGGCATCAAACATCCTTAAGTGAGCATAAAGCATGGAAAGACCATCCTCAAGCAAGCCTTGTCGTGCCAAACAGGGCCGGATGGGCAGGGGGGTAGAAGTTTCTTTGTATTACACAGATATTGAGACTGTCCCAGGGAGCAAAAATGTCACCTGAATGCTGCATCTCCAGAAAACTCAGAAAAAATTAAGAAATTTGTGACCTTTACTGGGATACTAAGAAATCAGTTGGGGTTAAGTGTTTCTGAATACTTTTGTTCTACAACAGTTAGGCTAGATCAGGCACTAATACAAGAATCACTTGAATAAGATGGATATTGGGAAACAGGCAATCCTAAATTCAAGTTTTTTGGATGCTATGGATGCAATTTGGACTTTTGGGGAGACTTATAAATAGGAATTATCCAGCATGGAGGTCAAGTGTCCCCATTAATATGTTTCACATGGGCTTACTAATGGGTTATTATTATTTTCAGTCATCTTCATGTATGGGGTGACTGAGGTCATATGGAACTGTGTCAGGCTGTTCTCAATACATAGAAGCAATTAAAAACAGTTAATGAAGGACACAAGCACTGCAGCTCTTTGTGAGGAAGCCAAGCCAGCGTAGAGCTGGGTCTGCATATATTGGTTTACTGGAAATTGTCAAAGGGAAGACAAAGGAAGAAGCAAAGCAGTTGTAAATAAAACCACATTCCAACTCCGTATTTTCTCATGCCACAAAGTACTGCTGACAGCAGCTGGGAATCAGAGTGAAGGGAAGGGCCCGGTTCTGACAGCAGCAATGAGAGGGAGGGAGTATGGAGACAGGTAAGGAAGGAACTGCCAGGTGTTTCTAGGGCATGCAGTTGTTTGGGGGGATCAGAAAATAGCACCAAGAGCCAAAAAGCAAATGAGCATGCTGGAAAGGGAAGGTACACCATACCAATGGGCATGGGGCATCCAGGCCGTCCAGCCCAGGTAGCCCCGGCTCACCCTTCTCGCCTTTAAAACCTCGGAGACCCTGTTCATGAAATCAACCACTATCGTTATTTCAGTCAGTGCCAGCCAGCTCCATGTCCCAGGAGGAGAGGCCGGGTCCCTGCGGGGACTGGCACAGGGCACTCAGCTGCACAGCCAGCACAGAGCCCAGGCTGCACAGTTAGCTGTGTCTGCAGCAGCTGCACTTTCTGTCATCTACGAGCCAGGAGAAGCTTCTCCCAAGTTAAAGCCGAGAGGATGGGAACCATGTTTCCTCCATTCCAAAATCAGCCATTGCTCCGATCCTCACTGAGACAGCCAGCAGCTGGATTTCTAAAAGAATGATTCCCCCAGTACTCCTGGAATTTGTGGCACTGCTAGCAGATTTTTGGAAGCAGTTGCTGCAGCATATGGATTTAGATAAAAATGTACACATATGCCTGTATTTATTCATTTGTCTAGACTTACAGCCAATCAGTTTTGACAGAAACACATCCCATTTAGAATATCTGAGATTTGTTTTCTCTCTGGGTAGTGCAGCTCAAGTGCCCTGTGTGCTCTCAGGCCATCACATCAGCTGGCTGTTATTCCAAGGCAAGGAAACCAGCATTCCAGCTTTGCTGTCCCGTGGCTTTGATCCCACTGAGCATCTCCAGAGAAGAGCTGTAACCAGCAGCAAAGGAGACGGGGCTCTATCCGCAGTGGAGAAAGCCCTGAGCTCCCAGCACATGGGGCAGCCCATGTACCCAAATCTTTGTGAGGTCTGGAAGAGGAAGGAACATAACCATGGTCACTGAGCAGCCTGATCTCCCAGAGGATCAGCTGGTCCCGCAGCTTTGCCACAGGCTGTGGTGGGAGCCCAGCTGGGCCTTTTCTGAATGTTGTACTTTTGCAAGACCATTATTTATGTTATTATTTCCTTCTGTCTTCCCCATCAACACATTTTAAAACAATACATTTGATGAAACAGGACATACCAACGGACAGGGTGCATCTAATCCAGGTGCTCCTTGGTCTCCCTTATCCCCTTTAGACCCTCTAGAGCCTTTCTTGCCCCTCTCCCCCTGTAAATAATAGTTTAGTCCAAGAAAAAAAGAATACACAAAAGCTTTAGGATCATCCATTTCAAACAAATGTCAGCGATAGTTTAAAAAAGGATAAACATTTAAGAAACATTTTAAAATAAAACTCCCTCTTAGATGGGAAGATCAATGTATGGAGCTGCTGAGCTGTAGCTGAGCTGCATAAACACTGTGGCTGTGGCTGAAGTCCCACACTGACAGAGTGAGAGGGCTTGGCATCAAAGGGATCATCACACCACTTCTCAGGGCATCCCATACATCAGAGAGGGGCACCTTGGCTGATCCCAGACACACAGGATGGGAAGCCACCCCTCTGGCCAGCAGCGTGCCATCTTATCTCAGTCTCCAGCTGCCTGGGAAGGTCCCTCTTCCACTGGAGCTCTGGGATAGTGCTGTGATGCTTTTTTTACCCCTCTGAACTCCCATTCTTACAGAAAGTCTCACTCAGGGAACTGTCAGCCAGGGAATGAAGGAAGTACTCGGCTCTGAGTCTGCACAGTCTGGCTGTCCTTTGGGATACTCTGAGTTGTGCTCTCCCAAAAAACCTGTCAGACCAGGGAACAGTCCTAGGCAGCACAGCCACAGGGCAGCAACTGGTCCCTGATCCTTAACTAGCAGCACAAGGCAGGGCACAGTGTGGTATTTGCCAGTTACATCCACACCAAATCCTCCTGTGTAACAGGAAATTCTCAATGCTGCTGAGCATGAAACAGGGGAAAGGGGCTGCTGCACAGGGAACTGAGCTTAGGGTCCTCATGGACAGTGTTAAAGGAATTAAGGGATAAAATCAGGCAGCACAGGCTGCTGCTTCTTCTTTAAAAAAAAAGTGTTAAACCCAAGCTGGCAAGAGAAATGGATGGGAGAGGAGAGGCAATGAGGAGAAGTCACCCAGAACCAAGCACTGGAATGGAGAGGATAATCCAGGAAAAATGCAGCATGGGTTACTCCAGAGGAAGAAACCAGGAAGAAAGGCGGAAGAGGAGGAAGGGATAAAGGGGACAAAGGTGGACCTGTAGGAGCGAGGAAGATGCACAAACACACACAAAACCCTCCAGCATTAAAATAACAGCAGGACAAGTTCAGGGCTCACACTTTTTCAGCTGGATTACTCAAAATGCTGCCTGCTCCCGCTGCCATTAGTGCCACAACCCCAGGCACACCTATGCTGATCTCTTGCTCTAAGCAGAGAGCAGAAGGAGCATTTCTGGGATTTAAAAAGCATAGAGAAAAAGAGAGGAGTCTGGCAAACTGGGACTTCAGAGTAAGGGGAAATCCCTGTTCAAAGGTTCAGTGGCAAAAGGGTCCCCTAAGATATTGCACTTGCCCATTTACACTCCTGAGTCTCTCACACTTTGCCATTGCAAAACATGGGCTGCAGTGAGGCAGAGTGCATGCATGCTTCAAGGGCCAGCAAAACTCCCCACTGATGCTTTCCAGCTCATCCTCTACAAGGAGTTGCAATTTCTCCCAGTTTTCACTTGCTTTTATGCCAGAGCTCAAAGAAATCCCATTAATGAAAGCTAATGAAAGAGCCTTCTTTTAACTAAGCACTCAGTTCAAAACCCAACTGAAAAAGTCTAGGAATTAAAAATGACAGTTTTTTAGAAGAACCCACACAAGCAAAACAAAACGTGAAGAGAAAGTTAAGAAGCAAAGCCAGAAATGCAATTATTAAAAAAGGGGAGAACTTTGGTGCTCCCATGAAACTTGAACCTTTCTCCCCCCGTTTAAGATGCCAGTTGGCTAGTGCTGCCCAGAACTGTCCTTCCTGTGCAGAGTAAGGGCAGAAATCCATTGCAGATAGAGGACAGAGAACACTCACTACACATCAAAAGCAAATACATATAATGAAATAATCACATGGGCACATGCACTATAAAAGATTACACCTCCAGATAAATGTAGGTGATGCCAGAGTCTTATGAATAAAAGGTGTGACTACATAAACTTGCACTGTATTGAACGTCTTCACATTTATACAACTGTAATATTACAGACTCAAATCCAAAAGTAGTCTATATTTATCCAACCATAGCTCCTAAATGTTTTTATCAAAAGATCCAGATTCAAAGCCTTAACAGGCAAGGAAACCTGATGAAAAAGAAGGAGCTTCTCAACACACACTTCTTAGCAATATTTATCTTTCCAGAACACGGGTGGTACGATGGGAGAGCTGCCATTCCTGTTTCTGGGTTTGACCCAGCTCTTCACCATCACATCAGGACAATGCCTGAGGAGACTTCAGGCCTGATTCTTCAAGATAGGCAAATTTAATTTATCTTATCAAAACTTCCATCTTTCAAATCCTCTGCAGAATTGTTTGCTAAAAGACAACCTTCTTTTTCATGCTTCAGGGACAATTTAGAAGTACTGAAATAAGATTTGCTGGCTGCACCTCAGCTAATTCTCCCAGGAATCCCTACAAACAGCAGTAACTAGATAAGCAGGATTTCCTAAGGCACACCATGCTGGCCTAGGTCCTGTGCCTCAGTTACAACAGAGGTGTGACCACAATGAACACATCAGAAAAATCTCTCCTACAGCCTTCAGCAAGACGTAGCACAATGTTCCAGGTGATGGAATGAGCTACAGGTTTCACCTTCTAAAGTCACTTGGATGAAGGTGTGGCACACAAACACATGCTGGCTGCTACAGGAGTTAACTGGGCTGTCACTGTGTACAGGTATTAGCAATTAAACACAAGAAGTTTGCCTGGTAACTTACCCGGACTCCCTTGTCACCAGGCAGACCTTGTAAACCCTGAAATGCATCAACACAGAAAGAAACATTTGAAAACAAGTAGATTTCACCATGTTCTCACTAAAGAGAGGAATGTGTGCTCAGGATTTTGGGTTTTTTATCATTTGTACCAATGGTTATGTCAAAAATAAACACAATTTTTCCAATAGGTAACCTCCTCTTCACCTCCATCAGACCATCCAGATGGTAACACCACACTACCTACGCTGTGGACTTTTCAGATAAGAATCAAATTCATTCTGAGCATGCAACAAACTTGCATTTTTGTGTTAAACAACAAAGCTGCTCCATGACTGCATTAGACCACAGCACCAACACTGGCCCCATTTTGCCAAAAGCAATCCCAGTCAGTGGAATTAACCTCACTGAAGGCAGCTTTTGTCCCTGCAATGACAAGACAGGGCTCTCAGACAGGAGGCAGGCACCCAGGCTGTGAAAGGTAAAGGAAGCTGCTCAAGAGCAGCATTAAGGACTAAGAGACACATCCTGGGAGTCCCACACAGCTTCTTCAGGAAGTTGAAGGACCAAGGCGAATTAACAGTTTTCTTTCAGCCTCCTCCACATCACTCTGAGTCTGCTCTGAAGCTATTCAGCTTTTTCTGTCACTCCCATAGTGAAAAAAATCTTGTAACCTGAGTTACAAGACACCCAGCTGTGACTGCAAACACTATTACAGCAGCATCTTCAGCCACAGCAAGAGAACAGGCTCTGGAGATAAATCCCTAGGATTTCTGTACTTACAGGAAGCCCTGCTGGCCCCATTGGTCCTGCAACTCCAGGATCTCCTTTACTGCCCTGAAATGGATACAAAAGAGTAAACACTGTTCACATTGCTATTTAGTACAAACAGGCAGCAGAGCACCATATAAGAAAAAGCAAAGGATGCATTTCAAAGCACCTGAAAAACCCAAGGAAGAGATATTCAAGCACCAAAGAGGCCCAGCTGAGGCTCTTGTATGAACAAGGAGAGGGCAATTCCAGCTCTGGAAAAGCCTAGAACTTCTCTATCTTTCAGAGCTGTGGTATCCTCAGAGAAGTTCTAGAGCATCTGTCAGATCTGAAGAAAACTCACCCTTTCTCCTTTTGGTCCTGCTGGTCCTGAAACCCCAATTGGTCCTGGAATACCCTGCAGTTGTAGGAAGGAAAACACATCAGGATGCCTTTACTCCAGGGCCTCCTTAAAGCCAGGAGACACTGCTGCTCCCTTAGGAAGAGCACAGCTTGGAAGGACAGGCTGGTGGAAGAAGGCACCTTGCACCACTACAGCTTTCAGTGTTAGGGGAGATGGATTTGTAGTTGGTCAGGCAATTTGAAGAACATGGGAACTGCTGTTAGATCACACCAGCACCAACACACAGAGCCTAATTTTTAATTCTGAGGCTCTCTCTTGACAATTATTTCAGTGGGCATTTCTACCACCTCCACATACAGGAACTCTTTCTTTCTAGTTTATACCAGATAAGGCTGAAAGCTGTAGCAGAAAAAGGCCATTTACATGTGATAAGCAATTTGCTTTTCCTTTTGTTTGTTTCCTTATTTTCTCTACCCCCTCCCGGAGTCAGCATAGTTGAGGAGATGGGAAAAGCTGGGTCAGTGGTTCATGCAAGCTGACAGACCCCAAGCTGCAGAGCTGAATGCAGCTGTGTACAGGCACAGATGTCAACTGGGCAGGTCATCCTCCAGTCCCTCTGCTCCTCCTTTGCCATTCCTGGCACTCCAGGCTCCCAGCCATGCTGACAGGAAAACCCAGTGTTCTCCCTAACCCTCTGACATGGAGCCCATCTCCCACCAGCACACTAAACTCCCTTGTTGCTGCTGCTCCTGAGACTTGCATGACCGCTGAAAAATCAAAAGTGATCTTTAATGCTGGCAGCATGGTGGTTCAGTAACAGTCCCTCTAAGAACAAGATTCCAGCACCTCCAACTCAGACTCCTTAAACCACATAGGTATGGATCTACAGTTCCCTCATGGAGCCTCAAACAAGCAATACTTTTGAGGCACATTACCTGATTCCTAGGAAGAACCAAGGAGCAAGCTTCCCAAATGGGAGAGTCTTTTCCTAAAAGACTTAATGCAAAGGGTCTTGCACTTTTTAATGTCAGTCTGCAATCCTTAGTCACTAAAGTAACCTCTCTGATGAGAGCAGGACAGCTCACGTGGATCAGGAGAGCTTTTCAGAGAAGTCAAGATCTGCAGAACACAAGCTGAGGAGTAGCTCATGCAGCACACAACTTCAGTGTGGCGAAGGAAGAGAGAAAAATCGGGCTCTCCTTAGATCTGTGCAATCGTGGCAACCTTAACTGCCTTCAGTTATCCATCATTTACTGCTAAGGAATACATTGAAATCTCCCTTGCATATCCATAAAATTGTATCTACAGTTTCCCCAAACAAGTGACTGTATAAGCTGCCACTCAGATTCTCTTCGGAAGTCAGAGCAGCTGAAATTATTCCCAGCTACACCAAGGAGGAGAAATTGCTATTTGTTTTTAAATAGCCAAATGGATTGTACATGGGTGATCTACGATTTCCCAAGAGGGATTAAAAATATTTGGCTGTTATTTAACAGCTGTTATCCAAGAATAGCAGAGTGGTTTGCAGAACCAGGTTGGCATTACTTAGAAGCATAGAATGGTTGGGGTTGGTGGGGCCCTTAAACATCATCTTGTTCCAACCCCCGCCCATGAACAGGGACACCTTCCACTGTCCCAGGCTGCTCCAAACCTTGTCCAACCTGGCCTTGAGCACTTCCAGGGAAGGGGCAGCCACAGCTTCTCTGGGCAACCTGTGCCAGTACCTCACAGTAAAGAACTTTTTCCTAATATCCAATCGAAACCTACTAAATCTTTCATTTTTAAGCCATTCCCTCTTGTCCTGTGACTACAGCTCCTGATGATGAGCCCCTCTCCCCATCTCATGGAGAATGACAGGTTGGAGACCCGTCAGGGTGAAGAGGACAGAAGAACAGAGCATCATGGAATCACGCAGAGGTTTCATTCCTCTTGTTACTGAGACAGAGTGAAACAAGCAGGCTGTGATCCCAGGATCCAGACTTGTAGCATCAGACAAGTGTGTGACATCACTCCTCATTTTAAGTTTAACCCCCTCCTAAGCCTGCTTTGGTAAAAATATGATTATTCCTGGTATAAAGAAGACTTGGGTGGAAGACACAACACAAGTCACGATACTGGGGAGGACAAACATGGGGTAACAGAGAAATGGAACTCACCGGTGGTCCAGGCCTGCCGTCTAAACCTGAAGCACCCTGAACAGGCGGGGAGGGTTCACAAAAACAAGGCAGAGGAGAGGGGAGGAGGGTGAGGGGAAAGGAGAGGGGAGGGGAGAGGTGAGTAAAGCAGTGGCTTGAGACAAACATATGCTTGCAATTAACAAATATTAAGATCTCAAGGACAGGTGATGGCACTTACAAGCAAACCAACAAAAACAAAGAAACACTGAATACATATAATGTTGACCTGCAACTTTCAGATCCTCCTAAGAGTGCAAATTTCTCTCACTCAATGTCCCCAGGAAAACTCCTGGGGAAACAGCTGTTCTATGACAGGTGGTGAAAAGGACAATGTGACAGTGGAGCCAGAATCTGCATTGCCTTTGTGGCAGGCTGGGCAACACAGGTGAGACGCAAGGCTCAGAGGCCGCTAGTCACCAAAGCATTTACAGGCAGGGCAGAACCATCAGCTGTTCAAGTGGCTACCAAGAAACCCAGGGCTTGTGGTGCCACTAGGTCAGCTGCAGGCTTGCTCCACTCCTTATGCAGTTGTTTGGGGGCTTATGAAACAGGTGGCTCATCTCCCTGTGTCACCAGTGCAGATTTACACTGGACTGAGATCAAGTGGCACTTTGCTCGGCTCCTGCCCTGAATTTCCTCATCCATGAGACCTAGCAGTGGTTCTGCCCAAGGCCCATCAAGCCCAGTGGCTTCTCTCAGACAGTGGCTGGGAGGGAAAGCTGTGGTAGGACACAAGTACCAAATACTGAGTTTTCCTCCACTTGAGCATTACAAGCTCCTCACCCTGTCAGCCACAGAGAAGCCCAAGGCTACTGCAGACAATCAGGACTGGAATTCCAGCGTGATGTCAAGCCCCAAGTCAGAGAAAAAGGCAGCAGATCCAGCTTCAGGATTTTACAGTCTGAAATATTTCAGAACTTGCTTGGCACTGCATTTAGTTGGACAGGCTGAATATACACTGGATCAGACATGGAAAAGCTTATGAAGATATTTCAGTGGCTCTGAAGAAGCATACAAGTTCCAAAGTATCTGATCTTATGATCTGAGCTTCCTGGTTGGCAGCCAGTATCACTGATCACAACAAAACATTCCTAAAATGACCCTTCTGAGCCAGTCTTCCCACATCCACAGCTCAGGAAGAGTGGTGGGAAAAGTCAAGGGACCTTTGGACCCCCACGGGGCTCACTGCTGTATGGGAAGCAGCTAGCACACTCCCTCCTACAAAGATGAGTTGCTGAGATAATTGCTGGGGCACCTTCTGCTCAGACTGTCACAAGGACTCCTTCCCCTGTCCAGATACCCCACTGGCTTGAGGTTGAATAACCATTTACACAGAAAACTTCCATTTGCATTTTTCAGGGGACTGGGTTCTGACTTCTCACTGCTTCACTGAGGCACAATCCCTGGCCTTTGAGCTTTCCAAAGCACCCCCTTCTCCCCACTGGCTCTGCCTGGAGCCCTGGGGAACATACTCATGCTGGGCTCATTTGAGAGCCTGGAGTCAGAGGGGATTCATTCAAACTCTACATGGGAACTCCTGCTCAGCACAACTAAAGGAGGAAAACATTTTACAAACAAAGACACACATTTCAGCCAAAGTCAGGGACAAAGGATCTGGGTGGTTGAACACAGGATGACAAGCCACACAGCACATGAGATGCATTCTGCAGTGTCTGCTCTAGGCAGAACACTGGGGGAAGGGAGAAGGTCTACTGTGCCACCAGTGCTTTTTATGGTGAGAGAACCTGGGGACTGGTGGAACAACTGGGTGGGACTAAGTTACCACCAGCTCATCATCAGGCTTGTATCTAAAGCTCCTACAACTTCTCTACAATACTTTGCCCCAGTTCCTCTCCCTAAGCCAAGCGAGGCTCTAACACCAGGCTAAGGGAGCTGTGTTCACACAGCAGGGACACGCTGGGCCAGGGGGAGCACTGATTCCATGACACAAGGACAGGAAAGTTTCAGCCACCAAAGAAGCTGGTTGCATTAAGAACCATGTGCTCTGTACAGAGCTTAGCCCAGGAGACCAATGGCTGGGGAAGGCGTTTCTTTTCCCACATCTCTGACTTATGTTTCTGGTCTTGCCCTGAAGTGCAGAGAACCTCCAGGAAAGCTACTGCTTGTTTTATCCAGTCCTGCCAGAAGCAGGAGGAAATAAAGTGATCGCTTATCTAGTCAACAGATCTAGAAGCTGAAGGCTCAGTACAGAACCTGAGGCTTTGGGATTAAAAACAGTTATTTATAGAGCATATCTTTCTCTGACTTTGCATACCAAATCCCCACGTGCGTCTCCTATTGAGGGATCTTTTTACAGCTGATATTAAGTTTGGCTCACAAAGTGCTGCTTGCTTCCTGGATACTTACGGGTAATCCCAGTGGCCCTCTGTCTCCTTTTTCACCCTGGGCACCCTTCTCTCCTTTCACTCCATCAATCCCTGCTTCCCCCTAAAGGAAGGATGGAGCAGAAAATAAACCCACAATAACAGCACTTATATAACAAACATTCCTCCCTTCAGGGAGCACGGGATAGCAGAATACAAGAGGCAGCAGAGTAATGCTTTAGCCCAATTCTCAGCCTAATCTGAAGAAAACCACTGTCATTCAAATTACCCCTGTGTGAGCACCTGTTTTAACTCAATGGCAATAAGAGATTTAGGCCCTGTGGATGAAGATGTTCAGAGGAGAGCTGAGCTCACTCTGGCACTGCTCTCCCTGCTGTTGTTACTGTATATATATTTTTATATAAATAACCAGAAGTTATCTGATAGGGTGGGTTACATTTTAAGATGTGGATCCACTGGAAATGAATGACAGGTGTCTACAAGCCTTGAAAAAAAATCATATAGAAATCTTGTTTGGAGAGACTTTTGTAAATGCTAAAGCATCAGTTTCATCATTTCAGAAAAAAAAAAAAAAATCAGCATTCTTTTCCTGGCTGTATTTTTAAAATTCTGCTTTATAAACTCTGAAGCAATACTAAACATAATACTTCTTTTTCTTAAATTCAAAATGTAAACCAAAACATTTTTCCTTCTCATTGCTGTTCATAAGGCTTTTAAAAACATATCCATCCCTTTTAGCACCTGAACAATGCTGGTGGCCAAATACTAAGGACAATTAAAATTTGGTACATTTTCTAATTTTTGCCCAGAAGATCACCAGAAATTTGCAGCTCTTCTTGAACATTTGCACTCCACTATTTTTTGTGTAGCAGTGTCTCACAGTGGGCAAGCCAAAGGTGCAGGCTGAGCATTTAGATGGAGATTAGAAAGATTCTCACCACCAAGGTCAGTGAAGCTCTTGAGTGCTTTACAGCAGAATGTACAGGGTAATTTTAAGACTAATTTTTACCTAGAACTCAGTTCTTTAGGACTGTGTGGCAGACTATTCATCCCACGGTACAAACCTCCACCCTCCAGACAAAGATTTCAACTGTGTTCTCATGGGCAGAATTCCATGGACCAGTGAATTCCCACTTCTCTGGGTGAAAACTGGAGGGAATGACCATTTTTCTGGCTCCTAAAATGAGAGCTGCTAATCCATTTCTTTCAAGAAAATATCCAGAAGGATTTATCCTCTTACCAAGATGGAAGAAAAGTATCACCTGAACTAAAAAGATGTTACTTAAGGGAATTCTAGTACCCGGGACAATTTTTTTGTTACATTTCAGTATGTAATACTTTGTACCCTTACCTTGGGTCCTGGGACACCCTGAAGACCCTGTATTTGGGATGAGAAACAAGATGTAAGTAATGTTTCAGGATGGGCTTTAAACTCCAGGTAGTACAAAGGTTTTGCTCTCTGGGGCAGAAGCCCTCAGCCCAAAGGTCTCTTTATTTGTGTAACGGGCACTTCGTGTACTCTTCTCATCTCTAACCAGGAGCCTCTTGCCAAGCACACCCTGGCAGGGGGCCAGGTGTGCTATTAAGACAATTTCTGCAGTTGATCCCTGTAATCCCATCTAGCCCATCTCACTACTGTCTTCCCTTTCATCTCCAACTAACAAAACCTTCTTTCTTTGCCCTCCCAGCCCACTACAGCTCTGACCTCCTCTGGGGGTGGGTTTGGAAGTGATACTATTAGGCATGTTCCCATTTCAACACTGCTGTGTTCTGGCTGTCTTCTCCACACAGAATCCTCCCCAGCTACTGCCTGCTTTAATCCCATTCCCTTGCTCCTCAGGTGAATGACTCAAACTTACTGGAGGTCCTGGAGGGCCTTGAGGTCCAGGGGGCCCAGTTATCTGGAAAGCAATGCAAGAGAAGCCACCATCAATGTGCTGCCCTCAGGAGCAGAGTGGGGCTGCTCAGAGAGGGGACAGGACACAGGGTGCAGCAGAGCTCCTCTACCAGGCTGGGAAACCTGGACTCCCCGAGGACTGCATTAGGAAGCAGCAGCAATCCAGGACTGAGTGGCTGGGAAGCAGCAGCAGGACCCAGGGGAGGTTCATGCAAAAGTTGCCAATATTTAAGAGGAGGGAAAGCAGTGAGCTTTTTTCCAAAGAAATGTCCACTTCCACTATTCTACCACCATTCCTACAAGGAGGCATAGGGTCAAAGAGTAAAAGATATTAAAGAAGATGTCTGGCTTCATGTGTGTCAATAGCTTGTGGGACTTCCTGCTGCAGGGCATTCCAAAGCTAGGGCAAGCTTTGCAGGGAGAACAGGCAAATTCAACAACACCAAAATCTTTTGGAAAAAAACCAAAAAAATATGTGTGTATATATACACATGCAAATAATTGCCAGGAAATAATTTACTACAAATGCTGAGGAAAGTATTTGTTATGCTTTCCAAGGTCTGTTCTTCCCTAGGCATTCCTTATTGAGGGTTGTGAGACAGATTGTTCTTGTGCCAGGGAAAGGAGGGCATCAGGAGCCAGAGGTGGCTGGTCCAGCCCCACAGCATGAGGCTTGCTGTCCTCAGCCAAGGGGTGTCACCAGAGGGGAGTGTGCTGGTTTCCAGCAGCACTGCTGCCAGATCATCCCTCCACTGCTGCTGAGATCATGCAGGAACATGGGAGCAGTGACCTGCCCACTCTCCTGGATTCCCTTTGTCTCCACACTCCCCAGGCTCACCCTTCTCTCCCTGCACACAACAGCACAGCCCATCCACCACCAGCTGTGCTCTGGAGCCTCCCTCCACTGAAGCTGCCTGTGAACCACCCATGGGTTGGCAAGCAGCAGCTCCCCCAGGAGAAGTGGGAACAGACCATGTGTTTCACATTCCCTGTGTGCTGCTGGAGGTCTGACAGCCATTCTGTGACACCTAACAAGGGTAGGGCTCTGAGGCTCCCAGAATACTCAGCACTTTGGGAAGTGAGCCCTCGTGTGCTGCTCTATGCTATTTTCTCTTTACCAAGCAGGAAAGAGCAGCCTTTTCTTTTCCATTCTTACTGTCAGTCCTGGAAGTCCAATGGGCCCTGGCAATCCTGATGGTCCTGGTATCCCTTGGTCACCTTGCTCTCCTTTCTCTCCAGTGGGGCCATCTAGACCCTATAGATCAAGAAAAACTCGTAGAGTTTTGCACAACTAAGTCAGGCAGACATATCACATATCAGTGTAAGAGCCAAGACTGGCTCTGGTCATCCCAAGAGTGCTCTGAAAACCTTGAATATCCACCAGCTATCCAGTGAAATGCAGGACTTCACTAGCATTGAAAGCAGAGGGGCAAATGGCTGAACATCCTCCTGTCAACGTGGATGTACCAGTCCACAGAGTGGGGATGGAGTACTGCTTTCCTGCCTCCAAGTTCTGCTCAGGGTTATGCAGTTTGCTGGAGTCTGTGTTAGCAATCAGTCCCCACAGCCAGCTGTTGAGACGCTGGAGTTTCATCCTGGTAATCCCATAGAGAGGCAGGAAGTCATTGCATAAACCCCCCTGAGCAGGGCTGGGGAAACAGAAGCTGTGACAGACTGAAGCTGGGAGGCTGGGCACTCTGCCCCAGTTAGTGGCTGGGTTGTGAGGGGTTACCCCATGCAGCTGCCCTCGCAGGAGGGGTTGTGCTGGGGCCTCAGCCTCCTGGCTCACAGTCACACCTGCTCACTGCCAGCAGCGTTTCAGTGCCAGCAAGACACCAGGCAGCAAGCTGAGGAAGGGACACGGTGCCCAGAGAGCAGGGCAGGCACCTGGGGACAGCCACTCCAGCAGGAGGACAACACACGTGCCAGGAAGCCAGGCTCTCCTCTACTGTGACACTGCACACAGCAGCACCCACCTGGCAGGGCCTCCAAGCAGACCTGGGGCCTTGCCCCATGAGCTGGGTAGGCAGCAGGACTTGGAGAGGCTTTGATTTACTCACCGGTGAGCCTGCTTGTCCTGCCTCTCCCTTATCGCCCTTTTCTCCTCTGACCCCGACGTGGCCTGGCTCTCCCTTTATCCCAGGAGGTCCATCCTTTCCTGGCAGTCCCTGAAGCCCAGGAGGGCCCATTTCTCCAGGCTTGCCACGTGGTCCCTAAATGAAATTCACACAACATGAAGTAAAACACTTACAGATGGAGTAAAGCCCAAGCCTGTTTTTTCTGCTCATCCTCAGGACAAAATAGTGTTGCCATGACAAATGTAAGGACACAACAAACCATTAATGCTCCTTAATGAAGCAAAAAAACCATAAAGCTCCTCAGTGAAGCAAAATACTTTCTTTCCTGGGAAAAACAACTCTGTGGAGTCAGTGACAGAGATGACACCAGGTAAAAACCTCTGAAGAGAGAGCATCGTATCTTACCTTTTCTCCATCGTGGCCTGGAGGACCTGGCAAGCCAATTTCACCCTGAAACACAGAATTATTACTTGGGCAGTTTGAAAGCAGATATTCTGACTCCTTCTGTGGGGCACTGTGATGAAAAAGGGCAGGCACTGAAGAAATAGCCTGCATGGACTACTCATGGGAGAAAAAAGCAAGAAAAATACAGGTTCTTTTCCCATAATCACCAAAAATAAAACATGGAAACACCAGAGGTTTTCTGCAGTCATAGAATCAAAAAAAACCAACCAAACAAAACCAAATCAACCAAACAAAAAAAAACCCACCATGGAAACCCCTGTTGAAACATCAGATTATGTGACTGCCTGAGCATTTTCCCAACCTTGTTGATCCTGACTGCCAGCTCCCAGTGCAGTCATGCAGTCCCCAACCAACACAATCCCACAGTTTGGTTCCCACAAGCTGCTTCCCGAAGGGGAAGGCAAGTAGAAAGGATCCTTCATCTTTCAGATTAGGAATTATCATTGTGGGAAAAGAGATTTTCAAGATATTGCGTGTGAGGAGGAGTGGCAGAGGACAGCAGGACAGTCTGATAGTGCTGGACAGGAAATACAGGAGCACTGGGAAGAGTTGTGGGTGGGAATTCTGCCTGGGCCACTCCTGTGTTTCCCTGAGTTCTGCAAGTGCTGAACTGAGACAATACCTTCTGTCCTGGTGGTCCTGGAGGTCCAGCCACACCTGGACGTCCTGGAGGTCCCTAAATAAAGAAAAAATTATTTTCGTATTTGATATATCTTTATGTTTTGAAACCAGATACCTCTCCTAAGTTTAAGGGGCAATCACAGAGGAATATTCCAAGGGATTCCTAAAATCATATTCTGTTGGGAAGATGAGCAATGGAGAGTCCTGAAAGTTGCTCTTCCCTGCTCCTTCTGAGCACTCCCTGTTCTGAGCAGCATGTATGATCTCTTAAAGTAGAGATGAAAGCCCTGATTAGAATTCAAGTGCCAAGATCAGAAGGCAAGATGAGCTCTTCTTTCAGCTGTCAGCTGCCCCAGCTTTAGCTCCCAATTGCAAAGGACAAGTGTTGTAGCTGCACCTGAAGTGTCAGGCCATCTGTGGAGGATGGACATGTATATGGCTACTTGTGTAAAACCCCACAGCACGGACAGGAACTCACCATCAAGGCCAAAGTTCGTATCTCCTAGGAAAAAAAAGTGAAAAACTAATTAAAAACTAAAAGAAACATTGGCAAACTAACCTTTTTCCTGGAGCTGGTTTGTTCTCCACTAATGTAACACAGGCCCAAATGAGTAAGGAGCTTACAAAATTAATCAGAGGGAAAGAAAAACCAAAAGAAATCTAAATTAAATACTCACTTCAAGTCCCAAAGAGCTGTTATTCTACAATTTCTCCATTTTCCCAGTGGAGCCCAGGCCAGCCCAGAGCTGGGCACAGCCACTCACTCCCTGCACTCCATCCTCACATTCCTAGTGAGGAAGCTTTGGTGACTTTATTCACCACCCACCCCAGCCTGTGGGCCATTCCCAAGGGCATTCATGTGACCTGTGTGTCAGTACACCAGCCCAGCCAGTGCACAGGTATTCCCCAAAACACTGCAGGCAGTGAGCTGTGGGATAAAGGGGACTGTGGCACAAACAAATGCTTCCCTTTGCTGCTACTGCCAAGGAAGCAGATCTGTCTGCATCCCTTGGGAAAGAGTAAAACAGCCAGCAGTCACCTCACAGGACAGGAGGGCAGCTGCTTACCTGGAGAGCCTCACTGATATTCCCATCATAGTCCATCATTTCATCCTTCCCAGGCTCTCCTTTGGGGCCCTGCAAAATACCAGGTCTTCAGCCAAGGTCTGGGACTGCCCTTCCCTTGTGGGGCTCAGAGCTGTGGTTCACTCTGAAAAAGGGGGCTCAGACGTGCCCATTTCACAACTGTCCAGTTTTTCATTTATTAAAGAAAGCCCCTGCAGTGCAGGAGATTCTACAGAATTGTAACCAGCCCTGCTCAGACTACCATGATATAACCATCAAAGCTGGCAGTCTGGGAAGAGATGAAGTTGAGGCCAGAATCCAGGAACTGGATTGTCTGACCAATTGTTAGATGTGTGCATGCATCCAACCTCTTGCTGCCTTTTTCTGGTAGGTCAAGGGCCTGAGTCCAGATTGGGATGTCCAAACCCACCTCCAACTATGAATGAGCCATCCTGAGATGGCCTGGGAGAAATTTTTTCCTCTAATGTAGGGGTGAAGGTACAGAGTGGAGAAACAGCCCACCTCAAACTTAGCCACTGCCCATCTATGAGTACTTTTAGTGACAGCAAGACCCAGTCTGGACTGTTAGTGTGGTCCCACTATCCTTAAAGCCCTCTGAAGGGCCAAAACTGTGTCAGTGAAGGAACACCTACCCTTGGGCCCATGGGTCCCTGGTCTCCTGGTGAACCACGTTCCCCCTGAAACAGGAAGTTCACAGTTTTAGCAAAGCCTGTCCCTTCACTTTCTTGAACTCCAGATATCACACTCTGCTGGTTCTTTGAAACAGTCTGGGCTAGACAGCTTGACTTAAATTTCTCCTTCTCAGCTAAGTTTTGCACACATAGGAACAAATCTGCAGCTCCTGAAGCTCAGAACACAGAGCTGGGCTGTGCAAAAGCATTCCGTACCTTTTCTCCCGGTGATCCTGCAGCACCAGGCTGACCAACGTCACCAGCTTCTCCCTGACAGGGAGAGAAAGGGAAAGGGATGGCTTTCTGTTGTGTTGAAAGGGTGCAACTTCACTGCTGGCTTCACATTGCCAGGAGGAAAAACTGCAGAACTGCACCAGCCAAGCACCCCTCCTGTGCTCCCTTCTCCTCAGATAGCCCAAATCTCCTGCCACAACTGCCCACCGGGCACCTTTCTGTTCCATCCAGTGCAGAAGGGAATGTTCAATCTGGTTTTTCAGAGCCTAGAGGTGAGTTATTTGAGCACAAAAAGGGATTTTCCTTCCAAAAGCGGTTCACGAACTCTCTCGCCTGCAGCATACAAAACAACAGTACTAGAGTACTCTGTAGAACCTGATATCCCTCCAGCAGGTGATCAGAGGTGGGCACAGATGAATACAACCTTTGCTCCTTCCTACACACCTTGTGCTGGGTGCAGTCCCTCACAACACACAATTACCTGAAGGAAAACTCACTCACCTTTGGTCCAGGGGGTCCAGGCAGACCTGGAGGGCCAGGTTCTCCTTTAGCTCCCACCAAGGCATTCTCAGCAATTCCCTTCTCTCCCTGTTTGCAAAGAAGTACAAGCCATGTGTCTCAGTTCAGACTCTGCACCTCTGCAAGTTCTCTTGCCAAAATACTGGCTTAAGAGACATGGCCAAGACAAGATCCATCAGCTGGGCTCTTGATAGCCCGGAGAGCACTGCTCCAGAGGCAGCAGCTGGCCAGGAACCAGGACAGCATGGTCCTGCCTGAGGGTCCTTGTGGAGCTCTGCCAGCAGCCACAGCCTGCATCATCCCTTTGGCTGCACCAGGCAACACAAGGCTGCCTGTGGACAGTCCTCATCCCCCAGCCTCCCTTTGAACACTGTGTTCTTCTATTGATGAAACTGAGCTGATTAAGCTACATGATGACTTCTTTTGGAATGCCTCCCTCTGGAGCTGTAGTCATCAGCCACTCAGCCCTGCACACCATGTCCTTTGCACAGAGCAGATAATAAGGCACTAACAGGAAAGCTCTGCCACTACACCTTCATCCCTTCCTGAAATGGCCACTGGCATTCACTGCACTGTCCCCTTTCCCAAAGAAAAAGCACTCTGTGCAAGGCTGATTTGAAAGGTGTGATTTTTATCTGAAAATCTCAGAGCACAGGGGAAAACCAGTTTCAGGGCTTAGCTTTATCTGACTGGCCCTCGGTCTCTCTGAGCACAAAGCTATTCCTCCAACTCAGAGCACAGCAGTGCAGCTCCCCAAAAGCCCAACACCTCATCATCCATGGATCCTGGAGCAGGAGGAAGGCTGAAATGCCATGTTACATCTGGGGTCATGCTTTTAAATGGAAAGTACTGGAACACAGTTCTGTGGCCTTGCTCCCAGGACCACAACCTCCCCCTTACTGCATGAGGACATGCCAATTCCTACAAAAAGGCATCTTTTGTGTGCCTCCCTCACAACCCTGTCTGAAGATGACATTCAGCCGAACAGTGCAGAACATGCTGCCACAGTCAGCTAAGAAAGTGTGAGCTGTGCACGGGAGGGAGGAAGGAAAAGGGGTGAGAGTGGTGCCACCAAAAGAAAAAAAAATTTCAGGAAAGAGGCAAACCTTTGGGCCAGGAAGCCCAGGAATCCCAGGATCACCAGCTCGTCCCTTTTCACCCTGTTGGCAAAACAGACATGGTCAAGGCTGACTCTGCAGGCTCTCCATCCTGGAGGAGCAGTAAAACGGTGATCTGCTCCTGGTTTCACCCTCTTTCCCTTCCCGAGGGATTTTATTTTGGGCACAGATCTTGAGCAGTACCAGCTCAAGACATTACAAGTTTTTGCCCATCCTTTTGGCTATCTCTGCACATCATTGCCTTTTCTCTCCAAAGGAAGATGAATGAGAAAGGGATCCAGGGTTCCCCCTGTGCATCTTCCTTATCCCTCTGGTGTGCTAAACACTTTTCCCTGTCACTTCTTCTGCACAGGTTTTCCCTGATTCATATGCCCACAGAAGCTGCTGCCCAGGGTGAATTTTAGTTGGAGTGCAGGACTTTCTCCATGCCCTGCTCCTCTTCCCTAGCTCCAAATCCCAGACTCATCGTGCTCTCAAATAAATCCAAGCAGTGCAGCGTCTCAGCTGGCAGCCAAGCTCTGGGAAACACACTGGTCATGTAAGCAGTGAAGACAAGAGTAGCAAAAATAGCAAAGACAGCAGCTGATGGTGTAAGACAATGCCTGGAGAGCTGCAGGCTGAGCTGCGTGGGGCACCATGGAGCATGGAGGATGCCATGGGCAGTGAGCAATGGAGAGCATCCAGCATTCCCTTGGTGAAGTGGCTTTGCTCAGTTTACCACGACACCTGGGCCACATCTTCAATTTTGGAGCACAATGACTGGTCTTTAAGTTAAGTTCTCTTAGACCATTCCACCCAGCTGCTAAACTCGTGGTTTCCATGTGCAGTGTCCTGTTTGAGAGTCTGCATTTTGCCAGGACAGAGAGAGATTTTGGAGGTTTCTGTTACCCTGAAAAGATGTTTCAAATGCATCACCAGGGAAAGGTGTGTTCTTAGCCACTATCCCCACAGCTCCGAGACTCCCCTTGTCCAGATTATACAGAACAACTCAAACCCTCTTTCCCCCAGAGCTGGCCAGCTCTCTCCTGGAGCCATGCTGCCGGCCTGCAGAGGCTGGTGCTGCTCATCAGAGCTCAAGGGCATGCATCTGACATGCAGGGGACTTGCATCAATGCTCCAGGAACAGACATGCACTGGTGGCTCCCTGGAAAATAATCTACTAGCAGCGATCTTTTTGTCAGGCAATTCTGGAGTGCAGTGACCCCTTTCTCCAAGGTAATTTGGCTTCCAGCCACCTGTAAGCCCCCTCTCCCCCAGCTTTCTTTCCCTGCCAGAGCATGTACATTGCTAAATTAATGCTTCTCTCCCTGGAAAGAGGGAAAACATTTTCAGGACCTCATACCTAAGGAAGAGGTTTGGCATAATCCTGTGCCAGGGCTCCATGAATTCCTGATTCTCCCTTGGTATCCCACTTTTCATTCAAAGACTGTTTTGAATATACATGTCCATAAGAACTACTGAAAACATCCTGTGCTGCCAGAATTAGTGTGCAAAGCAGTGGATTTCTTGAGGAAGGAGGTCAGATTACTGAATCCCTGTTTAGGGTGTTATTTCTGGAGTCAAGAGAAGTGGCACTGTCCTTAATCGTTCCCAGGACAAGACTACATCCCAGGCATCTCATGCTGCCCTGCCTGCCAGCAGCCCCCACCTCCTGCAAGCAGGAACACAGTAACACACTTCACCAAGGGGGCAAGAGCCAGCACAGGACACATAATCCCCTGCAAGCACAGCAGTGCAGCACACGGCAGCTCCCGCTCGCAGGAACACAGCGCTGCCAGGACACCCAGCCCAAACACGCGATGTCCTACCCGCTGCCCCCTCTTCCCTGGCAAACCTGGGGGGCCCATCCTCCCTGGGACTCCAGAATCTCCCTTCGTGGGGAAGAAAAGGAACAGGGAACGTGTGTGTTACATGGCTGTCACATGCTGTAACATAACCCAGCGAGCCTCAAACAAGGGGAGGCAGCTGCTCGGGGATGCAGAGGGATGGGGCACTAGTGCACTGTGCCTGCCTTGGGAACTCACACCCAGTCACGCTACACTGAGATGGGGACAGCCCTCTGCAGGGACATGGGAAGGCTGCTGGGGGCACAGAAGTCCTGGGAGGCAGAGGGACAAGGGAAGGGGCAGAGGGAACCTGCTTCCTGAGCGAAGCGTGCCCTGCGTCTCTTGTGGAGTAGGGAGGAAAGGAGGAAGGCAGCTGGAAGGTATTCCCATGGACACAGACATGAGCAGGAGAACAGAAATATTTGCAGTATGGTCCCTCCCTCACTTGGTATCACTGTATCCTAGTACCATTTTGTTTAGAGTGGCAGGCGCCATTAGGGCCTGGATTTGGGCACTGGGAAGTACACAGACATTGCTCAACTCCCTCAGCTGCTCAGGGAGGGGAAAAATACACAAACCAACCAGAAGTGCAGGCTCAGAGCAAAACCTTCTGAGAGTACCTTTTCTCCTGGAGTCCCAGGCTCGCCCTGGTGAGAAAGAGAGAGGAAAATAGTGACAAACCAGGAGGAAAGAGTACAAATCCTCCTAGAGCTATCAGAGTGAGGAAAAGAACATTCATCTATGGGGACCTTGATCTGGTAACAAGAGTGCTCCAGTTGAGTATTTTTGTGCCTGGAACTTCTTTTGTCTTCATTAGCCAGCTCCCAGGCTGCCCTAAGAAACCACCAAACCTCAGACTCATGGCTTCCATAGAATGAAGTAACCACTTTGCAGTACTTGCAGATGTTTATCGGATACAAAAGAGCAGAGCAAGACAAGACTCATGCTGGCACAGAGGAATCTGCCACTCCCCGCTCTGTTTTCACAGAAGAGCAAGGCTGCGGGTGCAGCTGCGGGAGGCTGTGGCGATACGAGTTCACCAGACCCGCTGCCGATAGCAGGGGTGAGGCTGCAGACAGGTCGGGTACCTCTGCCGAAGCAGGCAGTTCCGACAGTCCCCATCAGTGGGAGCCGTCCGACCGCCTTCCAGCGCCTTGCGCTCTCCCCGCTCCCGCCCGGGCCCGACTCGGGCACTGCAGCCCAGAACTGACCTTCATCCCTGCGGCGGCCGTCCCGGGAGCGCCCTGGCAGAGAGGAAAGACAGCAACACCTTGGTTGAAATTAATCGGACAGAGATTTTTAAAAACAAAACAGCATCAGTCACGTGAAACTAAAAATGCAAAAATCCACATCTTCTCCTTTCCACAACGCAGAAGTAATGCTGTAACACCACACAGCACACGTCCACATTCCCTGAGCAGCTGTTCACCTACAGCAGTGGCTCTGGGTTCCAGAAAGCTCTTCCAAAGACAGGCACCATGAGCAGAACCCAGTCAAGACAAACGGATTTCCACCCCCACCGCCCCTGGGTTTAGTCCTGCAAGTGAAGCAAAGGCCAACAAGCAGAACAGTGTCAAGTAACTGAGGAATGCAAAGACAGACCAAGGACATAACCCCCACTTCAAGGCTGGAGCCCAGACACCTCAGCTCAAGCATCCTGGGAAAGGCTGGCTCATACCCTAGAGCCTTGGCCTGGCTATTCCCCCTCAACCTGTTCTTATCACAGAAGACAAACCCTGCAGTAAAATGTTTCCAGGAGAGCTCTGAAGCCAGACACCTTAGGGGAAAAGCTACACTTCCAAGCACTGCAATTCAGGTGTCATTCTGCAGTGTGCAAGCCACCACCACGGGACCCTGGAGTGCAGGCTGCCCTGCCATCCTGGACAGGTGCCTCAGGAGGCAGCTGCTCCCACAGGGACTGTCACATTTCCCTCAACTGCACTGATGCAAAAAGCAGGTTGTCCCTGTCAACCATCCTCTCTGAAATCTCTGTATCCCCTGTGTTAGCATTAGTTAGGTCCTGGTTAGGAAAGGTCCAGTTAAAAAGGCAAATATGAGGGATAACTAAGGAGAGGGGAGGGAGTGGTGTTAGAAGTTGGGAAATATGAGGGTGTGGGATGTAGCACATGAGGCAGTGCAGAGGACTGGGAGCCAAGTTCAAAGTGAAAAAATCTTGGAAAAGTTCAAACAAGGAGGAGTGGGGAGCCAGAGAGCAGCAGGATCATACCTCTCAGCTTTCTGAAAGAGAAATCGGGGACAAAAGCTAAAAAACACAAGGACAGAAGATGGAAATCAGGGATTCTATGCAATAAATGGGGGGAAAAGCATTCCACATTGTCTCGGGGTCAGTAGGTTTTAGTGAACACAGGCTAGAGTCATGAAAGGGATAACATACAGTAAGTGCCTTTGGTTAGGCCTTCGCAGAGCCTTGGGATGCCTGTTCCTCATTTTTTAGCCTTCAAACAGCAGTGAATGCAGATCATGTTATTTTCTAGTATTTACCCTTAAACTCCAATCCACAGACATGCAGAGCTGCTCACACACTGACCCTAATTCATCCCTGCATTAGCCCAGGCTCCCACGTGAGCAGCCCGGCTCATCCCAGCTGGGTTAACACACACCTGCAGTGGTCACCTGGGACAATTTACAAAATGCCAATTCCCTACAAACATCAGCGAGTGGCTGCTCTCACTGGCATAAAGCATTAAGATCCTGATGTTGCAAGCATCAGATTGGGCATGCCATTTGCTCTGTAAAACACATCTTCCCCCACCACTGCCTTCATAAATGAGGCCTAGTATTTTGCAGTTTAGAAGCATGAATAATTCAGCTGAGGACAGTCACTGGCTCACAGACACACACACAAATGCCTGTGCAGCAGGGGCAGCCGAGTGCTACAGGTCAGGTCAGGCAGACAAGCATCACTCCTCTGGTTACAAGGTACCTTAGAGCCATGTCTTCCTGGCAGCCCTGGCATGCCTCTCTCCCCCTGGAAGCAGAGCAAGACACACAGAGAAAGACAGCAAGAGACAGGAGATGAGCAGTCCCAGGGCTCCACGAGGAGAGTCCAGGGCACAGGTGATGAGACTCTCCTGAGAGAAGTAAGGCACAATTTTTTCCACCTGACTGCCCCAGCTGGGGCCATTTCCCATCAGTGGCCCCTCTCAAGACTTACAGCAGGACTGACCCCACTGGGCTGCCATAGCCTCCATACCCTGCTACCACATCCCACATTCCAGCACGCTATAGGGCACAGGGAGGCACTCAGCCTCCAGTGACCCTGGGATGAACAAACCTATTTGGAGAGACAGAGAATCCAAGGGTTGCCTTGTGCTGTTAGCCTGAATTCTGTCTTCTGATAACTGGAAAATGAAACATCTTCAGGCAATCTGCATATTGCCCCTGTCATTTTGTTCTGGGTGTTTAGTCCTTGTTTGGAATGGCTATTTAGCAGGGAGATATATATATATATGTTTTTTTTAAAAATAAGTTTTTGTAATTACAGCATCCTGTTAACTGTATTTTGTAAAACACCTTCTAATACCATAATATACGCCTAGTGTGGCCACCTCCTGCCCTACACAGACTACTTAACTACCCTATTTTCAGCAGTAAGAAAAGTAAATCAATAATTAGGAATACTATGTACTAGAGAATGTGAATTGGTCTCTCTCCTTCCCACCTATGCTCCCTGTCTTTTTTAAGTGAGACCCAGCAGGGAAGACCGATGCTTCCTGCTGGGAGACACCCACCCTTGCTTGCAGAGACCACCCCCATAGGGCAGCCCAGCCTCTGACAGTAATTCCCCTTCCCAGAGACCTTCCTGGAAGAACTGCCTGCCTGAAGAGCTGTTTAATGATTTTGCCTGCAAAAGCAAAGCCCCCTCTGTGAGAGGGAGCACGGTAACCCCCACAGGGGGAGTCAGAGCAACCACCCTACACTGCATTTCCTGATGAGGCTGGTACAGCCCCCGGCAGGATCACACAGGCACTAGGGCTAATTAGAGAGGGCAGCAACAAACGTGACACTACACCACTGAAGCACAGAAAGAAACCCAGTGCCAGAGAAAAAGCAGGAAAAACAACTCTGCAGAACATCTTTAAGCCCTTAAGTGTTTGAAAGCCATTGTAGTGCAGGGAGTACCCGCTGAGCTGCTCCCTTTGTGCTCCCTGGTGCCCCAGGAGCTGCACACGGTGCTGCAGCCGGGCAGCAGCAGCAGCCCAGCAAAAGCAACGCTGGAGCGGTGCAGCCAGGTCAGGAGCTGGGTACCAAAGGCAAATCACCCAGCACTGCTCCCCAGGGGGTTTCAGGAAGGCAACCAGCAGCACCTCCCAGTCCCATGCCAATTTAGGAACCAATACACCTCCTGAGTCTCATGCTGATTTAGGAAGCACTCCGTGTCTCTCGAAGTTAGGCTACACCTCTCCACTTCACACAGAAACCTCACACTCTACCTCCTGTGAGCAGCTTTATCCCCACTGGGTGCAAATGATGCCTCACGCTGATCAGCTCATCAGCTGCCAGTTAAAACAGACACCATTCCTTTTTGCTCTTTACTGTGAGAGGCAAATTATCAGGGCTTTATTAAGAAAGGCTGTGGGTGCTTTATGGCTCCTTCCTCAGCATGAGAAAAAGCCTTATGCTATGGATCTTTCAGGGGAAAAAAGCAAGAAAATATCAGTGAAGCTGAATGCGACAGGCTGGGGGCACAAAGTCAAATGCTCATTCAAGTGGCCCAGGTAATCACAAACACTGCTTGATGACCTTAGTGAGACACAGATTTTGGTCCTTACATGACCAAAGTACAAAGGGTGGCCACAGAAAAAACAGCTGAGACACAATCTAGGTTGTGCTGCACCTGCCACTGGGTGGAGAGAGGTGATTGAATGAAAAAGGGGGCTGTGTGATACTAGGGAATCTCTTCAAGCCAGGGATATTCTTCACTGCCAGCCAAAGCAGTGATATTCCACGTAAAATTGGCCACTACAGCTGACCTATGAATCATGGTGTTTGTCCAGGGCTCCTCAAGGCAAAGAGAAGGTAAAATCTAGTCTAGGTAATTGGATCCAAAGTTGGAAGATTTAAAAGTTTTCCAGAGTCCTAATCAATCCTCCTAAGTGGGATGACAACAGAAAGAAGCAATTTCCAAAGACAACAAATACACGTGCTGTTGGATGCTCAGGAACTGCTACTGAGTGAGGTCTGGCTGCTGATTTAAGAATGTGTCTGCACTTCCCTTTCAACATTTCTGAGCAAAAAGAAAGGAAGTAAAGAGAAAAGTGACCTTGACACTAACAAATGATAGCCTGTGTGTGAAAGAAGCTGCTGTTTTGGGGCTGTGGAGGTGCCCCTTTGGAGTTGCGATTTAGTATCCCAAAAAGTGGGGTGGATTTAATCTCTGCTCTTCCTGAAGTGGGGTGTATAAGACATAAATAAAGGGCCAAGTAGCAAGACTGTGTCTCCAGGGTGGTCCTGAGTCAGGGAAGGCTCCCACTCTCTGGATGACCCTGAGACATGACTGCAATACCTGAAGACTTCCCCTTTGCCAGAACTCACATGAAGAGCTGGCTAGTGCTTGTACATGGGCATGAGCAAAGCAGGTGTTCCAATGCTAGCAGTGAAACATGGGAGTTTCAGCAAGGAGTAAACACAGCTTCTCCTTTCAGCCTTTTCTCCTTCTCAGGCAACACTCTGACTTTATTCCTTCAGTTCATTAATGGGAGATGTGCTGTCTAGACAGCAGCAACCAGCAAGCCCTCAAATCACATCAGTTCTGGGGGCAATTCCACCTTCATTTACACTGGCACAAACAGGAGCAATACCTTTGTGCCTGACAGAATTACACTGATGTGGAGATGGACACATGGAACCTTTGGACTCTACATCCAGTGCAGTATTTCTGAGGAAATATTGTTTTCTTGTAGGAAGAAAATCACTGCTGCACTGTTCAGCTATAAGCCCAGAGCCTGCATTCCCAAAGAACATTTCTTTAAACTCCAAGTAATGCATCCTTGGTAAGCTCTGAAGGGGCCTTTTCTCTCTTCAAACAGTAATCCACCCAGATGGAAAATATATAGAAAGTGTATGTGCTGCACAATAAATGAGCTGCATGCCACACACTAAATACTTGAAATGTACGTGTCACAGTTAATGCTTTTCCAAATATTACAGGACCAGTCTTTCCTCACGATGTCTAAGATGTATGGCATGACACAGTGTGCTCTGACTGCCATGAACACTTGCCAATGTTGTAATGTTTTAAGCACAGCCTACACTGAGTAATATACTTTAAATATATGGGTACAGTAAATTTCAGTCAAATAGATAACATCTGGGCAGAGACCATATGAGCCTGTAAAAAGTATCCAGAAACAGACAGAAAAGCTGGTGCCAAACCTCAGCCTGAATGGCGGAGTTTGAGTGGATTTGATGCGTCAGCTAACCAGATTTTATGAGGAAACCCCAACCTAGCCCATCAAATAGAGAGATGTAACAAATCACCAGCAAGCTTCATAGGCAGAGAAATGCCTTTGGTAAGCATCGAATTCCACTGAACGGATGAAGGCAGCATTTACTGCCTGAGCTCAGACTGCCTGTCTGTGGTCAGAGCACAGATGTGTACTCCATCAAATACCCCACAGAGCTGCCTTGCACCCAACTTCCCCTTACAATCCATCAGCCCAAGGAGCAGTATCCCCCAGGTAATCTACTGTGAGTTAGAAAAACATATTTGTCATGCCTACCTTTATGCCATCATCCCCTTTTTCACCCTGCCCAGCAAAGGAGAGGAGAAAGGAGGAAAACAGGGAGGGACAGTAAACATAAAGGAAAACCAAGCAAGCAGTAACAGCAAGAGATAAAGTAGCCAAAAGAGGGGTGTGATAAATGCAACCCCAGCACTCCGGGTCTCCTCACAGCAACATGGTACCAGTCAAGCACTGGCTGCGGCCCTCCCCTCCCTGAAGTGCAAAGGCACTTTAGGTCCTTGGAGTGGATGCTGGAGGTTGTCCCTACTAACACTTTTCTACATTATAAGGGTGTAGAAACCATTAAAGCATTTCATGGTCCAGGGTACCTTCATTTTCACAGCCCTGGTGAAAAAGCTTCTAAATGCTGGGTTGGTTTTATTCTTTAACAGGGGACTTTGTAGGTCCTGGTTCAGGACAGCATGGAATCACCTTGGCCAACAACTGCCCAGATTCTTCACACAGGAGCAAGTGTTCCTGTCTATGTGGTTCATTCCAGGCTCTAAAGAACTGTCTCCAGCCCCTGGCCTTTGATATCCCTTTAGGACAGGCATGTGCCACTAATCTGTCCCTGAGAGGTGCCCCCACTGACTCGAGTTTAAGGGTTACCTTGGGGCCAGAGGCTCCAGGGAGGCCATGGGCACCGGGCAGGCCTGACTCGCCCACCTCACCCTGAGGAAGAGAACAAAGAAAACAGTGGAAGTAGAAAACATAGCAGCAAGAAAAGGAGCTGTGGGGTGCCAGAAAGGTCAGCAGAGGTGTGAGAGGGATGTCCCACACTGAGGTGTCCCACGCACACCAACCTACCCCTGGGGTCTCTGGGAGACGAGCACCACTCTGCATCAAGAAGGACATTCAGCGTATGAAATGTATGGAGTGAAAGGAGCAGTCCCATATCCTACATCATAGCTGAGTTAACAACTTTCCTCAACATTTAGCCTTCTTTTGCCTTCCTGTTAGGATCTGGTCTCCAACATTCATCCACTCCTTCCAGCTTTCCCAGGGAAAGCCTTGGACTCATCCTTCAAGATCAGTGTGGGCTCTTGGCTCAGCGGTGACGAGCCAGACAAGTTGTTTCATGTAAGAGCAGCTGGTAGGAGAGGCCCTCGCTGTGAGGTCGCTGCCGAGAGCCGCCCGCCCTGCGCACAGGGAACAGGACGGGCTCCTAATGGAAAACCCGACGGTTTGCTGGGAGAAGGGGCAATAAATCCTGTCTGTCTGCAGGAGTGGGCTGTGGTCTGCAGGGGCTGTAATTTCCACTTCCTGACACAACAAAAACTTCTCCATTTATGCAGAGCTAATTAAAAAGCTCTCAGGTCTTGCCATTTTGCTTGCAGAGCAGCCATAAAGCAACTTGGAGATAACAGGGGACACAGGATTCCTTCCTGCTAGGAAAATTCACCTTCCCCTTCTCCAGCTGCCATCTCTTTAGCAGTATCTCTTCATTCCCTCTCTCCCGTTTGATCTTCCTTTGTGTCTTTCCCCTGTGTCTCTTCATTACACCCTCTGGGTTTGACAGCCCTGCTGTTAATCAGCTGCTGCTGAAGGCATTAGGGCATTGCCAGCTTCTGTCTTTTAACCCAGAGCAGGATTGACTCTTTGCTGTATCCCAGAGAGCAACAGCCATGGATCTGACCCTTTTCAGCCTCCATTTGGGTTTGGATGCATAAGAAATGCATTTCAGCCTGGAAGTGGGTGTAGAGAGGCACACACACACGGGGGGGTACTTTTTCCATAGCTGCTGGAGAGTTAAAGGTAACTCTGGGCCCAGGCTCTCTTTACACAGGTGACAGCAGGGAACCTGTGGGACTGTTGCAAAGCCAACAGGAGCAGAGCTCCACAGGAGGCTCCAGCACAGTCCACAGATTTCCAGCCATGATTCCAGAAAGCATCAGTGCACTTAATTCATTTAACAACAGTGGATCTTCCCTCCTTACCTTTCTGCCAGGGTATCCCTGAATCCCAGCGTCTCCCTGCAAAAGGCAAAAAGACAAAAGAAAGTGAGGTTTGGCCTGAGAGGGACACATCTCTGCCCTTTTCCCTGGGTATTGCTGGGATGGGAGAGCATTCCATGGGGAAAATTTGCCTTTTGTTCAGTGATCCCAGTGAGCTGTCCCTTCTGACCCACAGGCCAGCATTACCTGCACTGGGCTAAGCCCTAGCAGGAAAGCCATGGCACACAAGTAACATGTGTCAGCTCTGTGCCCCAACTCCATTGTTCCAATCTCCTCACCCAGGCTACATATCTCAGATAAAAACAAATTAGGCTGGGTGGCTGCAGCTGAAAAACAACAACAACAACCCCCTCCCTTGCACTTTGGCAAGTGAATAAATGGGAAACTGTGGCAGAGTTAACAATAGCATTGCAAAATCCATTCCTGAAGCACTGGGAAATGCTTTGAGAATGGAAGAAGCCAATAAAGCTGTGTGTGGCAAACAATTTTGCAAGATGGGCTGATGAGGCGTGCCTGGCTCAGTCAAGATGCAGCTCAGACGTGTCGCCTGGATGAAACCCATGAGTCAGCACACGGGCCGGGCCCCAGAGCAGTGCTGAGCTGGGTTAGAAATCCTTCTCAGCTGTTTGATGTAACCTCTTTTACCCCTCCTCCAACCATCAAAATGTACACATCTGTCCTTATCAGGAGAGTCCATCTCTGCTCATCATCTTTCTACACCTCTAAGTGAGGTGAGATGTCTCACCTTTGGTCCAGGAGGCCCAGGTAAGCCCTGTGGATAAAATCAAAACAGACACTGGGGTTGGAAATTGCAGACATTACATGGACAGCAGGGTGATGGAGGGATGCTGGCTGGTTTGATTTGAAATACCCCTTAGAGATTTGTACTGGTGAGCTCAAATATTTCCCATCTATCATGTAGATATCTTAGTCCATACACTTAAACAAACTTATGCACATAGTGCTCTATCCCCCAGGTTTGTTCTTGCTGAATTTGAAGACTAAAAAGCTGCTTTGCCTTATGCATTATGCTTCAGAATCTTTTCTGTTTCTCTGGCTTGCTTCGGGAACTTGTTCCCGCCCACTGCAGCTCTGGAGTAAATCAAGCATTTGCAGCTTCCTCTGGCAAGCTAAACAGAGAGAATATATTAACAAACAAACCACTTGTGTCTCTAAATGAGAAATAACCAAACAATTTACCTGATATGAACCATAAAGCATACCAGACATGTGTGTGTAAATATAAATAAACAAAGTATCTATGCAGGAGCTGCCTATGAGCAGGCAGGAAAGGAAAACTACTCTAGATATGCTCTGATGCCTCTGCCACCTGCTTTGGCAATTCAGGTGTTTAGCCATCCTGTCCTTGGCTCCTCAGAGAGAGATCTCTCAGAGAGGAAATGAGGTTGCTGACCCCTGTATTGTGTGTGGAGAGATACATTTGCCTCCAGAGATGAGAGTTGTTTTTCCTGCTAGCAGGCCTTGAAAACTCTTGGAGATGGAAGCTGCTTTAATTCCCAGTGGCTACAGAGTCAGCATGCCACGTTTGCCCCTGCAGCTCCCAGGAACGGAGCTGGATTCTTGTACCCACCTTCCCATCTCTGCCAGGCTTTCCAGGTTCTCCTGCTCTGCCCTGTTGCAAGAGAGAGGTACATTAGGAGCACTTTCTGTCCCCTGCCTGCCATTCAGCAATGGTATTATTTTATAAATAGTGCTTCTGCTCCCACCCTCCTCAGCTGCTTGCTAGGACAGGGACAGGACTTCAAAGGGGTGGCAGGGAGCACAACAATTACACCCCACACATTACTTCCTCCCCGGGGCCATCTGCAGGGGCTGAGGAGGGGGAAATGAGCCTGCTGTCACTCACTGTGTGTCCAGATAGCAGCAGCGCCCAGTTCACATCCCTGCCTTTCCTCTCACTCCCCTCTTTCCCCAGAACTTCTTCCTCTCCACACATCCACTTTCTCTGCAAGCTTCCTGTCCGTGGCTATCTCACCTTCACTAAAAGAAACAGTGCCCAGAGGAAACAGCCTGTGCCCTAGGGGACGGGGAAGCAGAAGGATTTCGGCTTTGGTAAGGACTTACAGGGGGTCCAATTGGTCCAGGACGTCCTGGGATTCCTTCAGGTCCAGCGGGCCCTGGTGGACCAGGGGGCCCCGGGGGACCTTGGATCCCCGCCTGTCCTTGTTCACCCTGCAGTTTGTAAAACAAGAGTTACCAGCAGGCAGAGCAAACCTTTCACACCATCAACCTAAGGGCACAAGGCAGGCCAGCCTGACTGAAGCAGAGGAGATAGAAGCAAGTCCCAGGTTACTGCCAGGAGAAGTTTCCAAGAGTGATGGAGAGCCCTGCTGAGGACAGCTGGGCTGCCTGGGAAGCAGGAGCCAGCACCTAATGGTTTGCAAAGGTATTAGAGCTCCCTTCTAGAGGGATCTATTGATAACAAAGCAGTCCAAAGAGACCTTTTTCTTCACTGAGTCAGCCAAGTAAAATTTATGTGTTGAAGATCAACATCTTTTGAGTCTCTGAGGAGGCTTTCCAAAGCATTTGACAGTCACATGCGAAGCAAAGCCTCCCGTGACAACATTGGCACTTCCAGGCAGAGCCACAGTGTCTTACCTCACCCAGTTTTCCCCCCATACTATATTTGTTGGACAACACTCCCTCTGTTTTGCCAAGGACCAAAAGTAGAAATGCCACAAACCCAAAAGAAAATAACACAATCATCATGGCATTCCTGGAGCCCACCCAAGGCAGCCCATATACACCAGGCAGAGCCTGTTTTTCTAAAATTTAGCAAGGCAGTGCATGCTGAGCCACCTGCCATTTTCAGCTCTCTGAGATGGAGCCGTTTGAGCCAGTTCCTCCCCAGGCCCCTCAGTAGCCACTCAGTGGCTGTGGCTCATGCCTCAGCAATGTCATCTGGCCCAAAGGGCCTGGACGTGGCACCAAGCGGCACTGAGGAGACAGTGGGTTGGAAGCACCATGTTTGAATACCAGACTGCTGATCTGTAATTGATGAATCCAGCGAGCTCCTAGGGCACTGCGGCACCTGTGCTAAGCTGTTCAGTTTTTAAACTCACCTCCCATGATAAAGTACCACAACACCTTACTGCTAGTGATCCAATTTAAATCTGAAAAACTTCCCTTGGTGGATCCATGGGATGCTAGAAACCAAACAAGGCTGTATCTCAGTTAAAATCAGTGGGTGTGCAGTTGGGTCTCCACTGCATTTATCCTCTCTACAGCCTTATGCACTGGAGGAAAATGCATGAAATCTGTCCGCTGTGCTCCTACCAAGTTTATCCTGGCTGCCTTTAGTAAAACATGCAGATACAGGGATGTTTGCTTTATTTAGAATGATAAATGAAAATAATAAGCTGCAAATTTCATCCTTTCTGCCATGAGCTCTGTTTAAAAGAAAATTTCCAAGACGTGGGCCAGGCTCACGAGAAGCTCGGTCATATGTGGAGCAACAGCCCTTTTCCTGTGCCTCGCTGCCCAACCCGCAGCCCACGCTGGGAAGCCTGCAGGGCCAGACAGGAGGGGTGCCCTTGCTTCTCCCCATTTTTAGAGTGGATCTTCCTGTGACCCTTGCAAGGGAATGCAAGTTCCTTCCTAAGCCTCCTTATCCTCCATACTCAGTGTTATTCAATTATCCTGTAAATGGTCTCATAGCTTTTAAATATGGAAGGTAATTTGGATCTAATGAAGATGTGGGGAGGACACTGGAATATATTTCTAGATTTCCTCTTGCCTTAACCTCTCATTCCAGAGGAAAATACCTTCCTCCCACCGCATCTTATAATATCCCCAGCATGGGTGCACCATGGGAAGGCAAAGGGGGCTTTACCCATCTTACTTTGGCTCTCTCTCTATTCCCACCTCAGCTACTCTCTGCCAGCCCAGTCCATGCTCTGAATTTAGGGCACTAAAATGCAGCATGGTGCTGGAACGGGGTGCTGGAGGGGACAGGGAGCTGGGCAGAGCAGGAGCCCTGCCCCAGCACAGGGAGTGGCTGGAAGGAGCTCACCCAAAGTCCTGTTTGCATCACCCTCACTTTGCTGTCTTGGGCACAGCAGGCTTTGTTTAGACAAGTGCCCATCCTTGCAGATCTCTAAACACACGAGGTGTTATTACCACATCATTACAGTCTCATTAATGCGTTCAGCACAAAAGGACCCCCACAGAGCTAAATGGACAGTAAGTGGATACAGTAAGTGGGAGATCAGGTGTCATTTCCCTCAGTTGTCATTCTATATTTTTAGCTGCCAACTGGAACTATTTTTCAATTCTTTTAAACACTCATCAGCCACCCTGACTGCACTCCACCAATGCAATGCTTGCTCAGCCACCTCACTGAGGACTCCACTCAGCCCATGCTTCAGCTAAGCCCCAGCCTTGGTCCAAACACTCCTCCTGATGTGCTCAGACTAGCAGCAGGATTTTCCTCTCTTCTAGGTGCTGGTGCTAACATCCATTTTGCAGCCTCACTTTTTTTCTTAGTACTCACACACTGAGCTCCTGGAATTGCCTGGTGCTGTCAGACCCGTAGGAGCAGACCACACCCTGTTGCATTCAGAGACTAAATACAGCAAAGGCAAAACGGATCACGGCAAAACTCTCCGGTGAAGTTTTCCTCTGTGAACAGAGGGAATTTGCAGCCCTGGCTGACGACAGGATGTAGGGCAGCTATTCAAGTTTCCCACTTCATCCTGGAAAGGAACTTCAGCTTTCAAAGCCTTCCCAAGAGGTCAGTCCTTGGCCTGGCTCTCCAGACTGTCACTTTGAAGGGCAAACAGTGCAATCCATGGGGCTCTGTGTGGTGTGAGTGCTGAATCGATAGAAACTGAACTGAAACCACAGGCTCAAGTGGGAAGATCAGGATTTGTCCAGAGCTGGGCAAGGACCAGGCACCTCATGGTAAAGGTTTCTTGTATCGTTCAGCTCCCTGCTGGCATCGACTGTCTAGACAGGCAGCAGGGTGACAAAACCCAGCCACTTAATAAAGAGTACCCAGCACACTTCAGAGGAGTAATTGCAGCAGTTTGTCCACACAGGAAAGCTAATCCCAATTGATGGAATGAGGGAGCATAAAGTGGGCTCATTAAAAGCCACATGAACTCTGACTATGGACACTTATTCACTATTCATATATCCATAATTCACTTTATTAATTCATTCCCAAAATAAACTAAACATGAATTATGGCCCTGGAAACCAAAATAAATGTGTTTACACAAAGATTTAATGAAACCATTCTAAGAGCTTATTTAAACACATTTCCCCAAGTGCCTCAGACTAGACTAGCCCTAAGAAGCATTTGCCTATTCATTCATCTCAGTTAAATTTCACAGACCTTAGATGAATTTCAACAAGAGGCTTCCAACCTCTTCTGGAGATTGAATATGCAGGAACTGACTCCTTAAGGGAGGAGGCTGCTTGTCAACAGCCCCAAGAACAGCTTCATGGCCCATTTCTTTTAGTTCAAAAATCTGGCTTCACTGCATTTCTTTTTAGCAACATTATCACATGAAAGATTTCCTCCACTTTAAAGCCTGAAACTCTTGGAAAGCCCTCTGTAGGGGAAGAAAGACAGGTAGCAAAGCTGATTAATTGCAAGCATTGGGATAAGCTCAGAAACAGGCAACAAGGAGAAGTCTACCTGGAAAGTGCGTCTCTTTATGACCGGAGGTGGAGCCAGCCGCACTGAATTGAGGAGAGGCAGCAGCTGAAGAAGATCAAACCAGGAGGTCGCAGGGCAAAGGAGGCCATTAGGGCACCGAGAGTCAGAGAGCAGCCAGGGGAGAGAACAGAGAAGAGGGGAACAGAGAGACTGCCGTGAAAATGAAGCCCAGCAGGAGAGCGGCGCGGGGCGGGCGCAGCACAGGTACCTGCTGGCAGACCTCTGAGCTCCTCCGTGCTGCTCACAGGGGCACCCACCAGGGGCCAGCCTGGCAGGGGTGGGGTGCCCACTCACCATCACAATGCCCCCACTGCACAGAGCTTTCACAGCTCCCTCTGCTCAGAAACAGAACTTAGCCAGGGGATTTCTGACTCAGCTCTGATCTCCTTAGAATTGCTCACTGCAAGACATCCCTCAATGACTCTGCTAGGGTGTCCAGCAATGCGACTGTTTTTCTTAACTTATCATCATCAGACTTGGGGCAAGTGTCAGAATTACAATTTTTCCAAGTTTTCCAAGTGCAGTTTTCTAGCTCTCTTACAGGAAACCCAGTGTATCTCCAGGCTCACCCCTCCTCCAGGTGTGGAAGGGAGCAGAGAAAGCTATAGCTGGGGTCAGCAGAGAGGTCCTGCCCCGGTTCACTTAACTTGGCAGACACAACCACCATGGCCAAGGGACAAGACCAGGCCTTGGAGCTGGACACCTAAACAGGGCATTGCCCTGGAAACCTGCACTTTGTTTTTCCTTGCTCCACAGTATCATCACCTTCTGACTGCTTATAGCCAGGAATGCTGCCTTAGGGCACAAACCTGACCCGGACACACAGAAATCAAATGCACTAAAGCTCAGGAGCATTTGTTCATCCTTTTGCTGTATCTAGTTTCCACTTGCATGCACACTGCTGTCACCCTGGCACCCACCATGTCGGCTCCAGGCCCAGGAATGCTGCTCTGGTCTGATCCACTTTCCTGCTCCTATCAGTTTTCCATTGAAGCTGCTCTTGATTTACATAGGGAGAGGCGATAGAGCCTTTCTGTGCTTGGGCACAAAAACGTGTCCATGTGTGACATTTCCCCATGTGAGCTGTGCACTCAGATCCCAGAGGTGTGCCCACAGGTGTCCCACAGAAACCACAGACTTTCAAGGAGTACATTTTATTCCCTTTAAACATTGTACTTCATGTGTGCAGTGAAAGCAATGATCCAGTCCTGTTGCAAAGAGAAGCAGAAACCCAATTTTGCAGCATCATGATCAGGTGGTTGGGTTCGAATGCACTGATCCAGACAGCCACAAACTATCACTCCAAAAGCAGTGCTGCTGGAAATTCAGCTGGGCTGATTTTACCCAAAGGCAACCTCCCCTTTCTAAAAGGCAGTGCAGGAGGCCTCTTAGCTCAGGAGAGCCAGCTAAGCTGGCTTTGCCTGGCTGCTTAAGTGCTGAAGGGTATATGAAATATTATACAGCTTACAGGGAAGCTGATGGAGGATGCTGGAAAGGATAAGGAGGAAAATGGAGAGAACCAGTCCTGAAAACAGGCAAGACAAGACCCTCCAATGGATTCAAGTGAGAAGAAATCTGAAGGCACTTCTACCCAGCTCCTGCCCTGCCCCCTCTGTGTTCCAATGGGAAGTTTTTTCAGAAGGCAGTGTGCAATATTGGATCTGCACTCTCAAGTCTTTGCACCAGGACTGGGTCCCCTCAGACCACTACCCACAAACCTTCAGCGTAAGGATCTGGTTAGAGCGCAGGGCTGCAAGTGTGGTACTTAGGTATTCCTGGGGAACAGGGAACACACACGAGACAAACGGGGTCAGTCAGACAAACAGCATTTCTGAGAGCAAATGTAGCACAGCTGGTCTCCCCATTTCCCTGAATGGCACTTTGCAGCAGCTTGACTGGCCCTCTCACCCTGAATGGGCAGCCCCAATGCCTGGGCTCATCTCTCACTGCAGTGCAGGCCACACAGACTCATATAGACAAAAAAATAGGAAACTGCAACAAGAGCAAACACACATACCCTAACCTTGTATTTCCTTCCTAAGAAAACAAATACAAAACAAAACTGAAACATCATCCCCCGTTTGTCAGGATGCTGGTTTTCATTTCCTCACCCAGAGCATCTGACAAAGAACCTTATCAAACAGAAAAGCAAGAATAAATTGCAATTCGGTCAGCAATGTCACATTTTTGCAACACGGCCCATCCTAATTTTCATTCAGGGAGGAACAAAGTACTGCACCTCTGCTGGCTGGTCTGTGCCTCCGGCTCCCTGAACTTGCAGTTCAGGACAGCCTGTCCTTGAGTTGATCGGAGGACAGTCACCCTTCCCGTGAGCATGTCTCCACCTTGAACAACTCATAGGCTTTTTATAATGTTGAGCTTGGTGCCTCATGAGACCAAAAGTATCTCCATGAGAGGCAAGGAAACACTGCCAGGATGTGAGGCTTTGCACCTACCATTTTCCCGCTGTCAGAGCCCTGTAGCTCACCAGCCACCCTACAACCCTGACCCACCAAACCAGTGTGCTCTGCCCCCAGGCCTGGCCCAGGCTATTTCCAGGGATGCAACAGCTCCCTGCCCAGTGCCACTGCTTTTCACCTTGAGCACTGGGGACAGTCAGAGACAAGGGCTGTAACAGGAATTCAGGGCACTGCTCGGGTGACCAGTATTGTTGGCTTCTTTTTAACATAACAATCTAGTGAGCCGGCTCACTAAATAAACACAGCTGACCGGCTGTTATTGCACGGGGGACTGGCACTTCCCCACGGCCCCCTTCTCCCTTGCTGCCAGACGAGCTCACTCTCCAGTGGCTCTGCTGCTCCAACCCTGCTCCCTCTGGGCCAGGAACCAGAGCCCAGCTGATTATCCGGAGGACCATCAAAAATAAACAGAAAGCTCTTAAGCTTGTCTCCCTGTACACCCAGATTACAAATTCCAGTCACTTCATATGATGTCGTTCCAATGCATTTCCAGTGGATTTTCAGCACTCTGGTTGTTTTTAGAACTGGTTAAATCCCCTCAAACCCCATGATGTTCTCTCTCCATTCTTGGCTGCAGCACATGCTGACCAGGCCAAGACGAAGGGGCAGGTGGGGCAATATCCTGGCTTTCATCAAACAGTTGCTGGCATCAACCATCACGCTCAGCCTCTTCCTTGCAGGGAGAAAGTCCACCAGGCTTGGGGACCAGCACGGGGACCAACTCACTGGGGACCTGATAGAGCACCACGGCCAGGCAGTGCATGGCTACCCTCAGGCAGGGAGCATAACCCTTCCCTTTGTCTCTCTATGCAGGGATGACACCAGCATGACTGAGAAGAAAAAGGGAGGAATGATGATAGAGTTTTCCCCAAGTCTTCAAACCCCACAGTGCTCCAGGCCACACAACCAGAGCAGAGGCTGTGGAAGCAGCACGGAGCCAGTGCAGCAGCTCAAGGCATGAGTGGGTGACTTCTACTCCTCCAGAAACCCCAGGATTCACTGGGTTGTGGGCTGAGGTAGTGGACCTTCCCCTCTCCAGCACAAAGCACAGGAGGGTCTCCAGGAAGCAGAACTGACAGCAGCTATCTAGGGGTCAACTCTGGTGGGCAGGAACAGACAGACCGGAGAACCAACATCCCTCCTGGAAAACCTTATCTGCTGCTTTTCTGCGAAACACATCAATCAGCCAAGCACTGCCCCGGGGGCCCAGATGACGAATCTTGTTAATGGAACAATCTCTACTTCCCACAAAAAGCCATTCAGACGAAAGAGGATTAACATGCAGGAAGGCACGGGACAGAGGATAATAACGCTAATGACTTACCCTGTGCGGGTACTCTGCACACTGACCCTGTGAAAGAAGGGGATTAAAAAGGAAAGGGTTTAAACCACAGAGGCGACCAAAATAGGCACGCAGGGTCAGATCCAGAAGGAGTAAACCATTGTGACTGTATCAAACTCAGTGCAGCTATGCCAATTTGCACCTGATAAGCACCCTGCCTCCTGTCCTCATCCCTTGAGCCCTCTGCTCTTGGTACCCCTCATTCACAGTCAGATCAAGCAGCACCAAGTCCACCAACTCCCTTCCTCTATTTTAACTTTTAACAAGGCCCCCATTGAAATTACCTTCTCTCCTTTTTGTCCTGGGGGTCCCTATAAGACAAAAGTGACCAAAAAAGCCTCAGTAAATGAAGGAATTCAGTGAATGCAAGGGGAAAGGGATTAGGGTGAGAGATGGGATAGAGATGAAATACTTACAGGTTGTCCCCTGGGACCTGCAACACCCTTTAAAGAAACATAGAATTTAACATGGGATGATTTTCCATTTACAGAGAGAAAAAGACAATGTATGGAGTAGATGAAAAACTGAGCTTTTAAAAAAAGTTGTGAAGAAAAGTCCCAAGAGAGATCCGGGTTCCCTTTGTTACTCTGGAGGAGTGAAAAATACACACATGCTCTGGCTGCACCACCGGGGGGGGGGAAATATTAAAGGGAGAGGGGGAAAAATCATCAGGAAAACACACCCTTATTGTTCCCAGGACCTCAGCTGACAGCGCGTCTCCTCAGCCGAGGCTCTGGGATGGAACCAGAAGCAGCCAGGACTGAAGCCTGAGCTGGGATTGTGCAACAGGGGAGTGGGGAGGGGATCTTCAACATGTGCTTGCCAGAGGGCTATACACTCTGGCTCAAAAAACAGAATTACAGAATTAGCAGAAGAAAACATTCAACACTTCAGTGAGTGAAGGTGACTACAGAGCCTCTCTCTTGATCTCTTGACATACTCATATCTGGGATTTCATAATTAGAGATGTCAAGAGGAGCAAGACACCATTTGGGCTTCCATAAAGTGCAGTCTAAGTTTATCATTTTCAACCAAAAGAGTTTTAGTATGATACACATATGAAACAGAGCTTCAAGTGGGGGCGGGGGGGGGGGGGTAAACCACATTTAATACAAAAAATACTCTTGTTGTTGTTGTTGTTAGATAAGTTGAAAGCTGCCAGATGAGTTTTCAGAAATCTTTCCATCAACTTTTACTTGTCCTATGAGGCCAACCACAAAAAATGTCAGCTCCCAGAATATATTTAAAAAACATAATTGCTAAGTGCAAGGAAAACACATCCCATGCATAACTAGAGGGTTGCTGTTGTGGCACAATGAATGTGCAAGCCATAATGCAAAAATTACAGACACACATCCCAGCACTGCTACTATGAAGTTACAGAATTAGGGATGCAGCTAGTTCATCAGCTGAGGTAGGATTGCTACCCTGCCCATGAGCTTGTTTCCAGCTGAGGCACAACATCATTGCAAACCAACCCATCACCCGCAGACAAACATATGTATTTTTACCATCTCTCCCTTCTGTCCAGGATGCCCCTGCAAAAGAAAGGAAACACACATCAGCTTTGGCCACTGCAGACTCTAGATGATGTTGATTTAACAACTTCTGCTGAGTGAAGTGTGTGTCCCCAGAGCAGTACAAGAAAGGTGCAGTCGCATTTTTCTTGGGGGTGAAGTTCCTTATGGCAAAAACAGGATCCTGCTGCATGAAATTAGAAGCCAGAGGTATGTGCTACCAGCTCCTTCTCCATTACAGCACTGGAGGAGTGTGTAGGGAAGCTGGATGCATGGCTGTTACATGGAGCTATGGGTTTCATGTCCACTGGCTTCATGGAGAAGTAGCTTGTTTGTGCCCAGCTCTGAAGGATGGGAAGAACTTGGGTTTCTACTGCAAATCTCTAAGGACAGCATGGAGGTCTCACAGAGGTCTTTAGGATCCTTCCCTCCTCTACTGCAGCTCTTTTCAGCATGACAGCAAAGAGAAGGAAGCTGTTGGCTAAGGCAGAGGGCTGATACCTCGGGGATCTGCTCTGCCTGTCTGATTCTGGGTGGGACTGCCTGCTAAGGCTGTCTTTGCAGCAGCCAGGCTGCTGCACTTGTGAACTGCTATTTTACAGATTTACCTAGAAAGGAATAGGCCATACTCTGCCTTCCCTAAGCTCCTGACTCCTGCATCTCCTCCTGCTTGCCAACCTCCTAATTTTCTTTTAATCCATGCATGTGCATGACATTGCAAAATAATCCCCCTCTAAACACACGGTATAACACAGAGGCTGCAGCACAGTGGAACCTAGCAGGAGGCAGGGCAGAAGCCTGTAGAGTTCTTTGCTCACCGGTTTGCCGTCCAAGCCAATAGGGCCCTGAAATAAAAGAGGAAAAATTATAAGAAATGCTTTCCCAGTGTGTCTGTCCATCTGCCCCAGGAAGAACTATGTGCCACAAGACTGCATAGGCTGGGGTGATATGAGGTGACTCCTTGCCCTCCTGTCCAGTCCTGGCAGGTCCCTGGCCCACTGAGTACCAGCCCAGATTTCAAACTGCTTCAGCAGGGACTTGCTCACTGTCAGGACCTTCCAGCAGCAATTGATTAATAGGCAATTTGAAAAAAAAAAAAAAAAAAAAAAAAAAAAAAAAAAAAAAAAAAAAAAANAAAAAAAAAAAAAAAAAAAAAAAAAAAAAAAAAAAAAAAAAAAAAAAAAAAAAAAAAAAAAAAAAAAAAAAAAAAATCTCGGAATTAAAAATTCTACAGTGTTCAGTAAACTAGCTGAATATCAGTAGTTTTCTCAAGACTTTGATTTAAAAAGGCACCCACCTTTGGGGGAAGAGGAATTTTTGCGAATGATAGAATAATAAAAGTGTCTCAGGGAAGGGGTGACATACAGCTCAGCACATGCTGAAGGTACTGTTTGATGAGAAACAGGCTCCACAGAGCTGTCCCACCCAGCACTTTCTCATGAGCTGGGCTGATTTGTTTTCTGCTCCTCCAAAAGCCAAAGACCACAAGGGCCTGGAGAGATCTGCTTCTCCTCAGCTCAGGGGCAGCTCACAGCCCCCCTTGTCACAAGGTGCAGAGCTGTGGAGCCCAGTCAGACAGGGGGAGACTGCCAATTCCTCCCATTTTCCAGGCATGAGAGTCCCCCCTGCAGACCTGCTCTGGCACGTCCAGTGTCCTAGAGCAGCAGCTGAGCTGCCTGGCAGGAGCAGGGATGTGGGGGGTGTTTGTGTTTGCCTCAGGCTTCCTAGCTGTCCAGGATAAATGCATATGAATCAATAGCAACTGTTGGAGCTCTTCAGCAGCCTCAGTGCTTCAGAGAGTGCTGCCAGCAACTCTAGGATTGAAATGAAATTTGCTTTGCCCTCTCCTGGGCATTATCTCTGTTCCCTCACAACTGTGCTGGAGAAGAATTCCCCCTTATGTCCTTTCCCTTTGGCATGACCAGGGGGTTCAGCCTAGCACAGTCCCCAGCTGACCCTCAATAGGCCAGGCCTTTTTTGGATCCCAGGCACTTGCTACTATTGCAATACCACCTAAAAGCTGAATTAAAGTTGGAATTTCCCCTATCTAGGGGTTGTTTTCTTTGTTTGGGTTAGGGGTATCTCTTAGTATGGTATTCTTTTACCAGCTATATAACTATGTTATTTTAACACTTGGGGCTTTTTTATTTAATTAATTTCCTTTCAGAGTTGTGTGGTTTGGTTTAGTAGGTTGTTTGGGTTTTTTTTATCCCTAAGTATCATTTAAAAGAAAAACAAAAGTAGCAGAAAAACAAATTAAGAAAAAATTGCTTTTTCCAGTGGTATCAGATCAGGTCACTGGTTCCAGGAAGAAATGATGAGATAAAGCAAGCACTTATGAGGCTTCCTAGTAGTATCACACATCCGTACCTCATAAATTAAGAGTTACACTTACCGGGAATCCAGGAAAACCTCTTGTTCCAGGCTGTCCCTGGGAAGGATGAAACAGACACAGCAGTTTAGAAGAATTGAAATGAATTTTGATGGATCCTAAGACCTCTCTACAGAGCCTTTTCTCCAGCCTCTGACCAATTTTCCTACAACTATCCGAAAAGATACCAAATTCCCCTCCAAGGGGAAAGTGTCTTGGGAAGGAGGGGAAATCTCTCATCCCCACTCAAATTTGTACAGGGCCAAGAAAATGCTGGAGCAGCTCCAGTTTGGATTGCAAGCAGTTTCCTTGAAGTTTCTACATTAATTAAATGGGTGTCCCTAGCCCATATGTTAGGCTTTCGGAGTATATTCCAGAGGCTGAGCTCATCTTATGGCAGTTCTTGCTGCCATAAACCTGAGATGTTTAATGCAGGGTGCTGTTCTGTGCAAGACAAGCCTTGCAGATCACTGGTGTCTAAATACAACCATCCCTCTCCTCCTCCTCCACTCATATCCCAGCTCATTAATTTTCCTCAGAAATAATTCTGGAGATTATTTTTTTCTTCTTCTTCTGTTTTATTTTTATTTGCATCCTCTGAGAGCTAAGACAAAAAGGAGAGTTAGGCTGTGTGATGAGAGGAACATGAGCACCATGACTTTTCCCCCTGCTCCTTCCTGGCTAGCTAGCTATGGCTACCAGTTTGGGATCAGGTACAGCAAACACTGGCTTGGGATGTGTTTGGCAGCTTCTTCATCTCCTACTTAAGAACAACAAAGAGACAAAATGTCCTGGCTGTTAAATTTTTGTAGTTCTTCAATTTTTGAGGCCTGTGACAAAGTCACAGTTACCATAGCTTTGTTGGTATCCAGGAAAGATACTACTTCATTTAAGGATTTTTCAATCTGTTTTCCTAAAAAAAGGTCAGGAAGCATATGGTCCATCTGGCCCAGACTTCAGCAGATCTTGAAGCACTCTCATGTAGATAGAAACAGCCGGATGAGGTAAATCCTGTGCCACGCTCATCAGCTGACCACTGTGGCATCTTGCCTACCCTGAAAGCCATGCTCTGTTGCCAAAATGCCCAGCTTCCTTATGTTCTCTCATTCTGGGGGAAAAATGCTTTCTTCAGCAATTTGAACTACCATGGCTGGACTGCTGGAGCCCCACAGGGGTTTCCTAGGATAAAGCTGGGCATAAACAGGGCACATCTCTGCCTTAATTAGCGTGATCCCATGTGGTGCTGAGGGAAGGAAAAGGCAAGGAGGAGATGGGGCTCCTGGGCTGTGAGGTTGAGGTTTGCCACAGTAAAGCAATAACAATCCTTGGGGAAACCTCAGAGTTGCACTGATAGGGAAAACCTTCACCTCCAGGTAACATCTCCAGCCACCCTCTGTCTGCAGAGACTCAGAGAGGGTTTACTCCTATGGAGGATGAGCCCAAACAGCCTCTTTGCAGGGTGTGAGGGATGCCCTCACCACAGAATCCCTCACGTCGCACTGTAGAGTTCTGGTTTTCTACACGGTGTTAGCAGAACCTAATCACATCTGCACTATTTCTTTAGTTCTGCAAAGTTGAACTTGGTCAGCTTTGCTTTGCAAGATACACACAAAACCACCTGGCCCTGTTGGCCAGTGACCAGGTGGGAAGATAGGCTATAAATTAAAGGATCTGTCCACCGCTGGCTTCTGAAAAGGCAAGAAGCAAGAAGAGCCTAGCCAGAATTCTGGTTCCCTGTTGAACACCTCCCTGACAAAAAGTGCTAAAAAAAGAATTAGGGAGAAAACCTGGAAATGGTGCAATTTGGCTTCCTCTGTAGACTACAGACTGCTGCTTCTTTCTCCTTGGAGGACAGCAGAATGATTTGCACGGTATCACGCCAAGACAACAGTTCAGCAGCAAGCAATTCCAAGAGACTGTTTTTGTTGGGTGGCTGGTTTTCCTTGTCTCCTTTTTAAAATGTTGATTGTATGAAGTATGTAATCCTGGGAGCTGCCAAATCATGGAGACCATCTGTTTCTGCCACTATCGGTGCACTGTCCCTCTCTGGCCAGGAGTTAAGCAGCTCTGAGCTCAGGCAAAAACTTTAACCTCCAAACAAAAATCTGGAAACTATTTGTATCCCACATCTTCCCGAATGGCCCCTTGGCCAGGGTTTCCGTGTTTGTCTTCAGTGCTCAGCCATCCTTTTGACCTATCACCAGCTCCCCAGGAAACTGGATCATCTTCACAGTAGGCTTTGCAGGGGGAAGGTGTGGAGTTGGGCCAGTCCTGGCACCTCAGGGCTTTCATTAGTGTAGGCAAAACCCCATTTTAGATACCATTTGCCATCTAATTTTTCTGCTGCTTTAAAGATGCAACGTGTTCTGCACTTTCCCAAACAGCAGCAAAGGCAGCAGCACCAAAGCAGACAAAACTGTCATGCAGCCCAGACACGTGTCCTTCAAAAAACGGTCTCCTTTGCAGGACCTACGAGGACAGGACCTGATGGCTTTTCTCTCTGATTAATGTAATTATACTGTTCAGAAGACTGAGAGCCAGAGCTTGTGAGAAACAGCAAAAGCAACGGGGCACTTACCCTCCAAAATCTGCTGTTTGTGGAGCAGGGTGGTCTTGCTCAGACCTTGGCTTGAGAGACTTGCCAGCTTCTCTTCCTTGCCTGGACACGTGGCCAGGGACCATCTGCTAGGCATAAAGCACTTGGGGAGACCCATTTGGGCTTTGGTTCTGTCGCTTCTCAAACTCCAGCATCCCTGGCAGGTGGGCCTGGGGACCAGCAAAGCTGTTTTTTATTAGAAACACTTGTCATGGGGCTTTTGGGAAGTTAATTGGAAAGCCAGATGTAGCCAAGTGTTCGCACTGCCTGGGTCTCTCTCACTTGACCTCGGCTGTGAAACAAAGGTTGCCAGCAGCCCATCCTCTCTGCAGGTCAAGGACGGTGCTCTTCACAGGTTAATCAAAATCGGAAGTGCCCACTGGGAGGGAGAGAATTGAATCTCCAGGTCTTTTTTCATGGAAATCTCTGATGGAGGCTGTGCAGGGATAAAGTGGAGAGGTCTGGCTGCACTCGCACAAAAGCAGAGGCTTGATGGCTGAACCACAGTGCAAGAAGCATCCAGCATTTAGGGCACATAAACACTCCAACCCCTCATCTTGCTCTTTTTTTATGACCTGGTCATTGCAAGAAGCTTTGTCTAGGAGACTCGTTGCACCTTGTAGAGACACTTTTACTGGACGAGGGTGCAAAATCCTGCCTTTTCTCAGCCAGGTAAGTGGTAACCATGCTGGCAAAGAGCTTCCAAGATTTTGGGTACATGACAAAGACCTCTGAACTACCCTTTGTGAGCTCCCCAGTTACTGGCTTAGCTCTGATCCTGCCTGTCAGTAAAATCAGGGGGCATGTTCCCTGCTGATTAAACCAAAGGCTGAAATTAGTTAGGCAAAGGGCAACTTTTCTCCAAAATTGATAGCAGCCCTGTTGCACAAAGGAAGTATGCTTCTTCCTTTTAAAAACAGGACTTTGGTTTCCTTGCCAAGGGAAGGCTTCCTCATTTGTTCTGGAATATGAGCTATAATTTCATTATATATAGTATATAATAGCAGTATAAAACCAAGGCTAACTCAGTATGGGAACCACATTATACAGGATCTTTGCTCTTTCCAGCTGATGCTAAGTCTTAATGCCCCTCCTATGCCTTTCCCAGTAACTTGCCCACATCCTGCATCAGACAAAAATAGAGAGAAAAGCTACTTACGGGTGGACCGCGGGGCCCGATGACGGACATGCCAGCTTCTCCTGGAGCACCCTGCAGAGAGACAAAGCAGAAGAAAAGGTGTGAGAACAAGGAGAAGAAAACACAAAGACAACTATATTCCTGTCAAGACTGCCGAGTAAATGAGGGTGCCTTAGGTGTGAGATCTTCAGGGCTTATGGGGCAGTTACTGTTCTGCCTCCCCCAGCTCCTGCTTGACACTTTGGGAGAAAAGATGTCCTTGAGAGCTGCTCAGATGTGCCAGAAAATGGAAGCTGCACAGCAAGAAGAAGTATAAACACATAAAACACCTTCTGGCAAAACAGAGGTTCTGCCCCATTGCAAGTGTGAAAGATGGCTTGAAACCCTTTATGTTTCCTTCCTGAGAGTTCCAGGAGGGTTACGTCCTGCAGAAGAAAGAAAAAGAGGGATGTGCTGGGCTCCAGGGAAATGGGAGCTGCAGGCAGCTTATTTGGCTGCCTCCAGAAATGCCTCGCTTGCATACTTTCAGCTCAGTTGAGACATGGATGAAAACAAAGCAAAGTGCTTGCTGGAAAAGGAAACAGCTGCCTCTCCAACTCCTAGCCACCCACAGTGTGTGATGGGCAGGACATGTCACTCTCTTTGGAAACACGGTGTATTCCTGAGAGGCAGCTCCAGAAGTGCCCATGGCTGAGGAACTTTGGGACAGAGCATCCCATAAACCAAGCAGCCTGCAAGAAAGCAAAGCACTCTGCAAAACAAAGCTATGGACTGCCAAAGACTTAGGGCTCTCAGGGAGGCCTCTGGGGCAGCAGGAGCAAGTAGGAGTGATTTTTTTTTTCCATTGTTTGTTTGTATCTATCTGCTGTCCCTTCATGAAAACTTTGGCCAGAAACAAATGCAAGGAAATGCAGAGAAAAAAGCAGAATGGCTTTGGGTGAGAAATTCTGGTCTGTTGGATGTTGGTTGGCTCCAATGAGCAAACAGTGAATATAAGCACAAAGAATCTCCATCCTACTTTCCCCTTCTATGTGGTGTTTATCCCTCTATTATGAAGAGGCACAAATGGGTCTGGTATGGTACTGCAGAGATGACCTTCCTTGTCATGCAAATATGCATACCTTTCTTAATTTCTACATAGTGTTATTAAATTATTCACAAATCCCAAACACCTCCATTTCCCTGCTCTCACAGGTGGGAGGTACTCACAGCTCTGGGGCAATTATGCTAACACTGAAATGCCAAACACTTCAAAACAGGGGCCAGCAGTCGGATAGCTTTGTAAACCAGCACTTCTTTGTGGGTACAAATCTTAACTCACTGAGCAGCAAACAGTCTGTGAGATGGTGTCCCACAGACCATCAGCTTTCCTCAGCAGGAAGAGGTCCCACCATGTCAGAAATAGGAGCATGCCATGCCACTTTTATTTCTTGCTCCCACCTGCACCAGGGATCAGGCTAACCTGGGAGGGAGAGGGGAGCTGCAGGTTGGTTGGGGCAAGCAGAGCTGCCAAAGGGTGTAGAAAGTCAATGGTTAAAATCCAGGAAGCCTTGAAGGAAGTCCTGCATGTGCCCACTGGCTCTTATGCTGTTAGTAAATTGTCATAAACAAGAAACACAGCATCTTTAGAGGCTGACTGGCCTGGAAGGAATTCGGGAAATATACTTGCACTGACACAGAAGATGGGCAGCCCAGGGCTGTGGAGGCCCAAAGCTGGCTGCAGTGGCCATGACTGTGACAGGGGAGCTTGGGCTGGCCCTAAAAGAGGACAGTTTGGGGGTGCTACAGGCTACAAGGAGCTGACTCACCTTCTCTCCAGATTGCCCTTTTAGTCCCTGGGCCAGTGGCAGCCGTCACAGCCACATGCAAGGGGGGCAGGGAAGAGAGAGAAAGGAGAGAGAGACAAACACAGGCGTCAGCGGCAAAGGCACACTCTGCCGCCCCACAACCCTGGCCATGGGGCTGGGATGAGCAGGGTGGCCTCAGCTCCTGCCCCGGTCCTTATCCCCATCCTTACCATGGGATGCCCAAGCAAGGAGCAGCTCCAAAATACAGCACTCAGCCAGGCAGGGGATGGCCCCCTTTGCACAGGGCAGAGTTATTTGGAAGGGGCAGCTGCCAGTGGCAAGCAGGGGTGCAGGTTAGGAAACCCAGGGTTAGCAAGCCCAGCTGGCGCACAAGGTGGCAGCAGGAGACACCCAAACCAGGGGATGCTGAACCAGAAGAGGGCCTGGATAGTACAGCAGGTGAAATGGAAACACCTCCCCAGCATGTATGTGGCTTGCAGGGCTGGTCACCCTGCTGAGACCAGGGGAGCCCCTCAGGTGTGAGGTTCAGGGAGAATAGTTTTGCTCAAATTGACAAGGATTATCCTGAAAGCCACCCTCCCCCACCCCCAAATCCTGGGGGTTGGAAGAAAATGGGAACAATAAGGCACACAAAAGAGGGTTTGACTTACCGGCCGCCCAGGGATTCCCATCGCACCTTTGTCCCCCTGGCAATTAAGGCAAAAATCAGAGGGAATCGGTAACTGGCCAAAAGCAAGGTTATAAAACAGCACAACTGAACTAAGCCACAGCAGCAGCTTCACACTGTGGTGCAAGTGTCCAGGGAATTTGACAGGGAGAGAGGGAAAGTTAAAGAGTAAAATGTGTTTACACGTGCCCTAATCTGTCTTTAGAATGCGTGAGCCACCAGTTCATTTCCACATATGACAAATCCACACATCTCACAACAGAAATTACATACAGCAATTTAGGCAGCAAAAGGAAGACAGGAGTCTCCAGTCAAACAAAGTACTATCCCTTTTTCCAACACTTCATAAAATCCAGGTCCTGGGAACTGGCTTCCTGCAGTGGCCAACTGTCACATTTTTCTCTTTCTTGACCAAAGTCATCTGGGTATTAGCTATTTATTTATAGAGTTATCACTGTAAAACACAATTCTCTTAGACTTAAAAATACTGTCCTGTCTAGAAGCAAGAGAAAAATGTAAGAACACAAGCTGACACAGGAAAAAGCACGTCTGGAAGAAGACATATGAGCAGCTGTTTCAGTGTCCTCTACCCCTCTGAGATACTTCCCAGTGCATTGCCAGCATGTGAGTGATCCTAACAGTGGTTTTGGGAATGACTTTGGGCCAGGTGACACTGGACAGAGCCTCGTAAACACATGAACATAGGAGAAGTGACAATTTTCTTCACCCACTTACCTACCAGGCAGTTGGCTGCCTCTTACAGCTAAATTGTACTATGCAATTACAAAAAAAACCCCAAATTACCCTCTCTGTATTCCTGGTCACCAAAACTGAAGGCTGTGCAGATCTGGAAGACAGCAGCTCATTGCTAAAGGATCTTGATGATTATGGCTTCAGCAGACATGTAGCTTTTGCTCTATATTTTGCAAAAATGACGTGATAATAATCCCTCAGTTCTGTTTCCAGTGATGTTTGGGGTTTCCTTATGTAAAACAGAATGTTCTGCCCCTGGCTGACTGCGTCTGTAGACATAAACCTGGTTTTCTGGTTTCTGCAGCTGGAGACACCAGTCCCATTGCTGCCACCTCTTTATGCCTCCCCACACGTTCAGTCCTAACGCGTGTGAACATCATCTGAAATCTCTGGAAGGGGAAGGCACTTAGCTCTGTTTGTTCTTCTGGGTGTACACAAAAGCTGTGTATCCCAAACTCAAACATTATTGCTTGAGATCAAACTATTCCCTGGTGGAAGCTTAGCCACGTCCCTCTGCAGAGTTGGGGGGGCTGTTTGGTGTGGGGGGCATTCTTTTCCAATGCAGCATGTGTTGTGACATACTGAAGAGCCACGTACACTTTGCAAAAGCACCCCTTTCAGATGGATGAAACCCTGAACAGCTGCTTGATTTTAAGTTTTGTTGAGGATATATTACGGGAAACTGCTTTCTTCTAGGGTTTTAGGTAGGTTCTGAGTTGTGCTAGTATTTGCCTATCTCTGTCAACAGTGAGTGGAGCTCCTGGTGTCGGCATCTGGCCCTGGGATTACTTTGTGGCTGCTAGAAAACATAATACTAAGCTTTCCTCTGCTTTTAGTCCTTTAAATACTGCTTTCCTCCAGAGCTGAGCCCAGGCAGATTTCCCTTGCGGTTTTTGAGGTAAAAGCTGAATTTGCTTCTTCTGCCTCTGCTGTGGCTGGTGCCCGAGCAGGAAGAGACCAAGGTCGGGGCTGAGCTGTGTCAGGTCCCCCACAAGTACCTGGAGTGGTATATGACGGCACCGTGTCTGGAATGTGACTGTGCACTTACAGCAAAGGGGGAGATCCCGGTAGGACAGCAAATAAATACCAGATGTTTATAAGGAAAGGTTGTCTGTGACAGAGAGCCAGGAAAGAGCACTTGTGGGTGGATGATACCGTGTAGGTTGGTTACAAAGTCGTGAAAAGCTGCCTGAAGCTGCCACATCAGAGTTAAAAGAGCATGAAAGGCAACCAGCAGCCCCTGTCCTGAGCCAGGGGAGAGTCAGCAGCACAGTTTGCATTTCCTTCACTGGGAAACTGCCTGTTATGGCTTGTGCAGTCTCCAGGTGAGCTGCAGCCTGCAGAGCAAGGAACCATCACCAGGAAATCATGCTGCTGTTAATTCCAAAACCCACACTCCTTCCTCAGTCATGACTAACTCTGATGCAGATACTGTTATTATGGATTTTTGTATTTGTCCCAAGGAGACTTAGACCTTCTAAATCCTGCTGCAACTAGCAAATCCCATCAGTGAGAACACTGAACACTGCCTGTTCAACCAGAACCTCAAAGACATCTTCAAAAGTAGTGTTTCCCACATATAGGAGGGTACACGAGGATTATGCTACCCTTTAAGTTTGGACCTACAAAGCTCCTGTGGTCCCTACTCTGTATGGGCCGTGTCATGCTTGCAATATTCTATTCCAGGTCCCATTTTTCATGCAAGTCTACTTTCTTCCACCTTATGAATGTTGAGGGCCTCCTGATCAAGGTACTGTCCAACAGAAAGATTAAGGGGATGAAACAGAAATAATGAAGTATGTACCAGGAGCTGTGGCCTTTCTGTGAGGCCCTGGGACAAAATACACTGAAACAGCAAAAGCCAGCCTCAAACTCTGAAAGGAGGGCCTGATAAAGACATGGAATCACATGGAAGTGCTTAGGAAACAGAATGGTTAAAAAAATTCTCCACAGCTCCTTGACCATCAGCTCTGATTGCTTCGGTTTCCTAATCTCCTGCTTGTGAAGTTTTCTCTCCTTTTGGCACGACTCTACCCACAGCTCTCCGCTCGAGTTCTGAAGGTATCTGCAAGTCCACGGAGAACAAGCTAATTACAGGGCTTTGACTTTCTTCCTTAGTTTCCATCTGCTAAATATTATTTTTTCATGTATGGAATTGTTACAGTTGCCACAGAAATGTTGCATGATCAGAAATGGGAGAGAAAATGTCCGTGAGAGGATCATTTGCTTCGGATGTGGTCCAGACAGCAAAAGGACTATTGCACGATTTCATCACTTCCTTCCTTCCTTCACCCCTTTTAGTCCCAATCTCATCAAATATCTTACATGACTGCGGGTTGCCCCTGTCTTCACCAAAGCCTTTACTGACTTCAGGAATAAGGGTGGAAGTGTGCTTTGGGCAAGGGAAGAACATGACGTTCCCTTCTGCTGCTCTGGTGCTGCTCACGATTTCCCCAGCTTTTGTCCTTGTTGGCCTAGGCTGCAAGCAGGGCTCAGGGCATTTCTAACGAGTATTTCTCCCATCTCCACACTCAAGCCAACATCCATACTGGGAGATAAGCCCTGTCAAACAGTGTGCTGTCTCTTTTGCAAGCTGGGAAATAAAAACAGGAGAGAGATGTGAGGTGGTCATTGTTTTGCGATCACTATCTAGAATAATGTGTATGACAATCAGCCAGGAAGATCACGTTGCTGCTCATAAAACCATTTCCATTTCAAACACAAGAAATAGGGAGGGGTGGGGGGATACTTCCTATGGTGATATGTAGAACTCATTTGGCTTTTCAGAGGTGAACCTTTGCTCACAGTGACTGAACCAATCTCGCTCACCGGCTGATCAGAAACCCAAGAGGTCCTGAATGAGATGAGGGTCCTACTAGTCCAAGACAAATTCCACTTCGGCTAAGAACACTCAGTCTGCCCAGCTTCCTCTTGTTATTTCCATTGGCTATAGCATTCCTCTCAGCTTGTCCTAGAAGTCTGCTTGCAGAGACAGGTTCAGGGGTCGCAATAAGCCAGGATACAGTAGCATATAATGTCAGCACTTCTCTGGTGGTCCCATGTGCTTCTGCCAGGCTTCAATCTCTCATTACAATATTAGGTTTCTAACCCTTATTGCTGCAGAGGAAGTCTGGAGCGTGCATCCTCCTCACCCCACAAAGGCACTGACTACTCTCTAGAAGACACCTGTGTCAAATCTAGTGATTTCTCTCTAATTTCTCACAGCAATAGTGGAAATGCCAACACCACCACCACTTTTGTGTCCACCTCATCCCTTTAGTGGCAACATATGGCCTGCCCAGGCTGAAATGGCAGGGACTGCCATGGAGGGACTCCAGTTGGAGCTGCCTGCAGAGGCGTGCTCTCCTCCCAGAAAGCCACAGCTAATGCTGTAACACATCCACTTCAGCAGCCAGTCCTGAAAGCCCCTGGGATAAGCTATCGCTGAAGTTTTGTGTGGATCAGGACTTCCAGCTGTGAAATGCTTTCAGACCTTTTGGCCTAGAAGGTGCAACTTTTTGGAAGATTGCTGTCATTAAATAGGTCTGTGCTCGTATATCTGTGGGAGTTCAGTCTATAGCATTTCAGCCTGATGAAAGGGGAAAGAAAATAGGTTGTGCAGCAACTACTACTCAGAACGTCATCTGCAAACTGTTTAAGACATTTTTGCGTGAACAGACAAAAGATGACTACCGTATGTTTAACTTCTCATGTTCCTTCACAGCAACCCTGAATAGTCCCTCTATTGTACATGAATATAAACCATTTCCTCTGGAAGGACTGTGCTAGAGACAATGCAGCATTTCTTTATAATCCTGAGAGCTATCGATACATGGCTTCAGTCCTTGTGTTGCTGCTTCTGGTTCACTGTGGGTCTGGTAATAGCTGCAAGAAAATTTCTGCAATAACCTAGCTATTTTCCTGAAGCCTAAATTGTCTGCACTGAGGTTTTACATTAGCTAACATTTGAAAAGGAAGCTGTCAACACAATTTTTCCTCTGAAATTGATAGTTGCACAGCTATACTTGAAGGCCCAGCAGCTCAGCCAGTCCGGGTGAGTAGCAGAGAACAAGTCCCTGCAGCTCAGCTCCTGCCATGTGTTTGTGATCTATCTTTCCCTTTTCTGCAAACACATCTCATTCAGTATGTGGCATCCCATGCATGTGAAGCGCACACAGCCAGTTCCCGCAGAGGCTGCGGGGCCAACTGCAAACACACAGTCTCTGCACCACGTGAATCTGCCATGTCCCCGTCCCTGCTGAGCTGCAGCCTGGAGCAATCCCACCCCAACCCAGCCCTGAGCTCTCGCAGTACTTGCTGTTTGGGATAGCCCAGGCTGCCGGGACTGCAAAGGTGGCTACCACACCAGACACCACAGACAGGAGGCTGCAAGCTCATGCCCCGCAGACTCCATGTCAACAGCTTCTAAGACCGTACAGGTTTGGTACTTACAGGTGGACCTGGAAGAGAGAAGAAAAAGAAACAATAATTAATTTTTAAATGCAATAAATCCTAACAAGAAGAGCTAGAAAAAAACATTACACCATCTTTTGGGCTTAATCCTCAGGCTGCTCCCACTTGCTGATGCACTTTCATCAGCTCCCTGCTTGTTAATTAATGTATCCCCACAACTAGCAGCTGCTAATAACCACCGTGAGTGCAGGGCAGTCTCTGTCAGAGACCTGTGCTGGGAAGGCCATGCAAGGCAGGCTCTTGACACTGTCAAACCCAGTTTTGGTCCTCCAACACACAAGAGTGGGGAACTTGTTAGTTATGTGATTCCTCTTCACATCCTGCCCATGCCTGGAGGCTGAGAAAGTTGAAACTGAGGAGGCAAGAGTCCCTTTGCTGCTAAAATTCCTACCCATTTCCCACCAGAATCAGTAATCTTGTGAAGGTGTGAAATGGCTAATGAGGAAACTACAGCTATTAAAAATATCAGGTACTTTTTCTCTTTAATACAAACACATTTTCCCCTTTTCTTCTGCCTGTGATCCCATAGAAGTCAACCTGACCTCAGAAGAAATTCCCTCAAATTCTTTGGATTTCTTTTATTTTGGAGATCTTTTTTGGAACCTGCCAGTGTGGAGCACTGCATCTCTCACATACAGAATGGTTGTACAATATATATCAGGGCTTAAACAGCACATTTCTTCCATCAGTTCCCAGAAAATTCCTCAAAATCCTGACAGATACTGTGTGTGTGGAAAGAAACCCCTGGACTCACTATTTTGTGGTTTCCTCTCTGTGGGAGAAGCAAGACACACCATACAACTGTCAGGGGTTTCTACATTTTCCATACTTTATAGACATTCTGTTTTCTTTTTTTTTTTTCTTCACACAGAGTGCCAAGAAGCAAAGGCTAAGCAGTATAACAGAAGAGCTGACAGACAACAGGCAGCAAACTCCTTGCACAGGAGGCGGATGTCACGGTGAGCACCTGCGGAACACGTCGTCATCCTGAAAGTCCACAAAAGAAACTGGAGACTTTGGATGAACAAACATTTTCCACATTGGAAATCTCTCACTTAGCATGACTCTCTCATACCAGGTTTGGTGACCTGAAACTGCCCTGTCAAGTGCCACTGTTAGACATGGCTTCATTGTGGTTGATCGGAAGAAGTTAGCTCTAGAAAGTAACTTTTGGTTAAAATACAAAGAATAATAACCACATTCATGATGGCTGACAGAGCTGAAGTCAACACTCGCAGCTGGAAGGCTCAACATCAAAACAACTCAAATCAAATTTAGGACAGGAGCTCAGGGGCGATCCAGATTTGGATGACCTGGCAAGCACCCACCACCGGTGCTGATGCTGAGCCCACTGTCCTACTTGGTACACCAAGTCTAAACAACAAAAGGGCTTCTGATCAGAGAGCTCATCTAGGAGAGCAAGGTCAGACTGATGCTGGAATCCTAATTTATGCCAGACTGGGAGAAAAGAAAGAATTTAAAAAAAAAAAAAAAAAAAAAAAAAAAAAAAAAAAAAAAAAAAAAAAAAAAGAGAGAGTTTTCTGAGTCTGGCTTGGATCACAGTGAAGTTCTGTGAGAGAACTGTTTTGGAGAGATTTTGTTTCAGACTGAGTGCCCTGACACAAGGTCAATGCTTATAGCTTGCCAATACACGGACTTTATTTCCATTAACAACACTTCAGACCCTTAATAACCCACCTAACTGTCTGCATGGACTTGGGCATTCATGGATTGCATGAACCAAACTGCTGATCTAATATTAAAAGAAAATTTAAGGACATGCAAACCCTGAGCCACCCCTGCCCTTCCAGCCCAAACACAACCAGCCAGCAGGACAGCTTGTAATGGTATTACCATATCACTGAGAGCAAACTTAAGCTCTTGTTTGCTCCAGAAGCCCCATCCACAGAGAAGAGTAAATCAGCAATGCCGGCAGCTCTGGGCCACACACCCCACACAGATCAAAGACCAGAGGAATAGTGGAGGCCCATCTCTGTTATGAGCCCCCTATAAAATTAATGGCTATGCGAAGGGGACTGCACAGTCTTGTGTAAACACTCATCAGTGAGCTGCAGGGACACAGTCTTGGCTGCAATAAGTCAGTCAGGAGACACCATCCAGGGACTGGGCTTCAAATGCCGGGATCATCCGTGTGACCCAGGAGAAAGCGAAGCCCTCAGACAGAGTCATTTCCAAAAGCAACATCATCTTGCATGGGCTGGAGGAGGAGAAGGAGGAGGAGGAGGAAAGATGTTCTAAAGACAGCAGGAAGGGAGGAGGTGCTGCTGGATAAGCTGTTGCAAAGCATGGGGGATTTTACGAAGCAAAATAAAGCTTCAGCAAAATGCTTTGGTCATATTCTGTCACAGTGATAAATGACAAGGTGGAATAGAGGTTCTCAAGTGGCTCAGTCCTTAATACAAGTAGTAAATTAATGCACATTAGAGGAAAGAGTGGATAGAAGAGGATGGAGATACTTGAGCCTCTACTCTCAACAGCTCCAACCACCAGCAGTGCAGTGAGCTCAGCCCTGGCCAAAGCTCTGGCAGAGCTGCTCGGGCCTGGGCAGGGATGCTGACAGCCCTGCAAGCCAAGGGAACAAACCCACAAGTTGACCAGGCTGCGTGGGACCCTTTACAAAAGCCACCTGAACTGCAATGCAACAGAGTCACCACACCACCACTGCATGTAGCCCCTGTATCATGTCTCTTGCAAGCCCAGCCAGTTTGGTGCAACCATGTGGAACTGGGTCTCCTTGCCCCAACATGGGCCAGGTCTTGGTGGGGAACTCCAAAGAGCTCTGGAAACAACCAGGAGCCAACAATCTTGACAGCCACAAGCACAAATCACACCTACTGGGGGTTCCTCCTCTCCTTACAGCAGGCTCTTTTGGGGTGAGACAGAGGCGATGCTGCATAGGAGATGAGCTAGATCCTCTTTCCCTATAAACAGTCAAAGGATGAGTCAACAGAGAAGTGATAAAAGCTACTGTGAACGTTTCTAAGCCCATTCCACAGTGAAGCCCAGCCAGCAGACAGACCCAGAGCTTCCAGATCACCAAATTCCTCAGCCTTGCAGGGACAGAGAACCCACACTTGTAATTAGCACCTCCAGATCCTGTGTGTTTTGAACCTGATCTTGCTGGGAGCGGAGCGATGCCAGCGCTGGCATGTGGGCTGCAGCACGACCATCCGCCCACGACGGGCTGCTCAGGAAGCATCTCTCTGTGCCGGCGCCTCGCTGCAAGGCACTGGAGGGCTGTAAGTGACTGCAAGCGCTGTTTATCCAGCTGCGAGGCCTGTGGAGCAGCAGGGGATGGAGGAGGGGACGGGGAAAACGTGTCAGGAGTGGACAAGTGGGAGGAAGCAGTGGTCTCCTGCAAAGAGGAGACCTCCAGAGTACCTTTGAAAAGGAACATTGAGAAAACAAAGAATTCTTGTAGGGGTACCCAAGGTCCCTCCAAACATATGGCCTTTGGACACTAGCACCATCTGCACTGTCCCTTCTCAGCTGCTCTGGTTTTTAAGTTTTTAAGACAGAAAACTTCCTTAAAGAAGCTCTGCCTTTCCATAGCCCAAGTGAGCAAATGAGCAGCCACGTAAGGGAAGGGTCCACCTTACTGCATGCACAGAAAGGCCACGCCTGTGATGAACTGCAAGGCCATGCCACAGAGCCCTCTGCTCACTTGATCTTCCCCATGGCCTGCTCCAACACAACAGAGCTGCAATGACTCCTTTTCTCTCAGCCACTGAGATAAGATGCCACCCTCCACGCTGTAGCCTCACTGGCCTCAGAAAAGGAGAGGCTTAGTTTTGCAGGCTGGTCAAATTTATCCTAATCCGGAAAGTCTTGTGTTCCACAAATGTTAAAAGCTGGACGTAGAGGAGCAGGTTTGGTAAGAGGCTGTCTGCTGATGACAGAGATATTCTCCAGCTTGAGACACCAGTGCTCTCTGGACCAAGAGGATCATTGAAATTATCCCATCCACTTACGGGCATTCCCTGAAGTCTGGAAAAGTGTCCATTCTCAAAAGGTTCCCAAATGCTGTTACATATTTTTTCCCCTCTAATTTCTTGGATTCAGGCAGTACAGTGTCTGCAATGTATCTTCAGCCTGCTCCAAGAGCTCACATACAAGGGGGTTATTTTCCCTCCTGTATAACATACATGAGACAAGGAGGAGAAAGAGGGAACACAAAGACATTCTTGTTGGTTAGTTGGGTCATCCTCACTACACACGCCAGGCAGCAGGGAAGATGTAAACATGTAATCCATCCCTGTGAGGAAATCCAGCCATTTCAGACCCAGAAGCCAACCTTAGGGAGTTAGAGAGATACAGTTACTTCCTGACATTCAGGGCTATGTTAATTGATAACAAGATAGCTGTGGCCAGGCAATTAGTTATGAAATGCTGATTGAAATGCCAGTGGCCTAAGCATGAGCCTACCCAGGGTGGCATGGAACCCCTAATTCATGGCTCCATGGGCATTCAGTGCAGACTGACCCCATTTCAGAGCAGGCATACCCCAGCTGGGTGCATGGAGCACAATCTGTTTGGCCTATTTTAAACACAGACCATGCTGTGATTTTCTCATAGCAGATCCAGAGTACTCATACTCTTCTAGAGCCGACTTCCCTACCTCCATTGGGGGACAAATGATACAAGCAGAGACAGAGGGAACATTAACTCAGAGAACTTCAAACGAAAAGGCAAAAAATGCCATGTGCCTTGCCATAATTCATTTTTATTAGCTGCAGGTGGAATTAAAGACAAAAAAATCTTGAAAATAAGAAAAAATTTAAACACTGACTACCCAAAGTACAACTTCCAGTAATTTTGCTTTAGGTTTTGTCAGCAGTGGCCGACAATCTGTATGGATAACTCACTCCAGAGAGCAGAAGGCCCTTGCAAAACGCCAGGATCCTCCATCCCTAACATTCCCTTCTAGGCTACACCCTTGCAGAGTGGCAAGAGGTTCTTCAAAGGA